AATACGTTTTAAGATATATTAAGATATTTTAAAATATATAAAATGATTTGTGCTATAGCAGAGAGCGAACATCTGGCTGAGGTTGCCCAAACTTACCAGTCAACCACAACTGAGCTTCATTTTTATTTATTTATTTCTTAAATTTATAGGCAGCCCATTTTACTTTTGAAGTTGTCCTGGATTTACAACGGTTCATTTAGTGACCGTTCGAAGTTACAAGGGCACTGAAAAAAAGGGACTTAGGACCAGTTTTCACACTTACAATCATTACAGCATTACATGATCATAATTCAGGCTTGATAACTGACTCACATATATGACCGTTGCAGTGTCCGGGGGTCATATGATCCCATTTTGCAACCGTCTGACCAACAAAGTCGATGGGGAAGCCAGATTCACTTAACAACCGGGATACTCACTTCACAACGGCAGTGATTTGCTTAACAGCTGTGGAGAAAAAAAGTCATAAAATGGGGGAAGAGCTCACTTAACAACTGTCTCGCTTAGCAATGGAAATTTTGGGCTCAGTTGTGGATGACCTGTGAATAGATGGGAGACCACTAAGAAATCCTGAGGATTTCAAGCCACCAGACTAGGATAGTAACAACCCAAAGAAAAGACAAAATCATTTCTACCTGGTTGGCAAAAACATTGCATATATTTTTTATTTTTCAAGAAGAGAATTCGACTTGGCTGAAATTTTGCCTTTAGTTTATTTTCCTGCAGAGTCATTTTGATTCTCCCTGTGGGCTCTAAAGCTGCACACAGTGATGTAGGAATTTATAAACAGTGCGCAACTTTTAGTATATAAAAAGGCGAAAGCACGTGAAGTCATCAATTATGTATAGCATTTTTCTTTCGGGGCTAAATTCCTGTGCCAGCTTCTCAATCAGCTTCAGAAAATGGGTTCAAATTGGCCAAAACAGCCACCATCGATTTGAAAAAGCCAAATAATTTTAACGCTCGTAACACCGATACCCTAAAACTGTAGCTTATGTCAATAGAATATCTACTTCTTTATTTCCAGTATTCTTAAGTTATTTAAATAACGGAATGCTCATATAAATCTCATTGTATAGAAATAACCTAATGTAACAAGAGTTATACACAAAAATGAAAACAAGAATACCAGGTAGACTTCAACTTAACACCAGTTCGTTTAGTGACTGTCGGAAGTTACAACGGCACTGAAAAAAGTGACTTATGATGACCCATTTTGCAAAAGGACGACTGTTTCAGCATCAAAATTCAGGCATTTGGCAACTAGCATGTATTCCTGACTGTTGCAGTGTCCCGAGGTCACGTGATTCGCTTTTGTGACCATCCCGACAAGCAACGTCAACGAGGAAGCCCGATTCACTTAACACCTGTGTTACTTACTTAACAACTGCGGTGATTCACCTAACAATTGTGGCAAGAAAAGTTGTAAAACGGAGCAAATTCACTGTCTTGCTTAGCATGTTGGGCACTATTGAAAGCAGCTGTGTCTCATTTTTGAATTTGTTGATTAAGAAAATGTATTACGGCTGCCCGACTCGCTCACTGTGACTTTGGGCAGCTTACAAAATTTAAACCGCACAAAACACAAAAAATAATACCTCCCCACCCCACCCCGGCGACAACAGTCAAACTAGCCACTAGATGGGCTCCATATCCCCTTGCGGGGGTCTCCAGACCTCCCAGCAACACCAGGGGTCTTTGGAAAGAGTGTCAAAGTGTGAGCCCATCTTATCTCTGCAAGGATGATGTTCCAGAGGGAGGGAGCCACCACGGAGAAGGCCCTTCTTCTTGGACCCACCAGATGGACCTCCTTAAGAGAGGGGAGCCCTAACATCCCCAGCCTCCCCGCTCTGGTGGGTCAGGTAGATGTGACCAGAAGATGGTCCTTCAAATCACCTGGCCCCAGGCCATGGAGGGCTCTGAAGGTGACAATCAGAATCTTGAATTGGAGCTGGAAGCAAATCTTGCGGGCCAATGCAGCTCCCGCAAGAGAGGTGACCCGTGTGCAAATCTAGCCTTACACAAAACCCTGCTTTCTGAACCAATCCAGGAGCCTGCATAGCTCTGCAGACAAGGCACTGTAATTTAACACCAGCTGTCTGCAATTAAAGTAAGTTCGAATCTCGCCAGGCTCAAGGTTGACTCAGCCTTCCATCCTTTCTAAGGTAGGTGAAATGAGGACCCAGATTGTGGGGGCAATAAGCTGACTTTGTATAAAATATACAAAAGTATGAAGGCTATTGCTTAACACACTGTAAGCTGCCCTGAGTCTCTGGAGAAGGGCGGCATATAAATCAAATTAAAAATAAAAATAAATTAAAAATTCTGGATAGTTTTCAAGGGCAGACCCATGTAGAGAGCTTTGCAGTAGTCAAGACAGGAGGCGACAGCTTTTATTGGGAAGCTCCTAAAAACCTGGCTGCTTTCAAGAGCTGAAGGCAGGTGTGTTTGGGTTCCCGTGTGTTTCAGAGTGTTTTTTTTCCCCTAAATTCCAAAGCACGCGCCACACTAATCTACATGCATTGATAATTATCTTGCAAACATAGGCCTTAAAATATATTTGGCAGCTAAATCCCAACGAACATTGGAGTATCCCAGAAATAGAAATAGTTGAAATTGAAAACGGAGTTCTTCGCATTGAAAAGTTATTCTCACCCTGTCCATGTCTATGGAGATTCTCCATCATCCAGGTCACGGTTATCCCAAAGGTGCCTTTTTCGAGAGGCGACTGGACTTTCTGGTTTTTCTTTGAAGACGTTTCGCTTCTCCTCCAAGAAGCTTCTTCAGCTTCTTCACCCTGTCAGTTTTCAACCTTTGGTTGTGAGGTGAACTGCCTTGCAGAATTCATATCTTATTTATGTTTTATTAAAGGTAAAATAACACGGCACCAGACAGAGTTCACAATGCCGGGTTAGCTGAATTAAAACAGGGTTGGATAATTTGTGGTTCGTTGTGGGGAAAACCCGCCCCATGACTTCCTACGCAGTGTAAACCAGTGAAAACTACCTTGTGGTTTTACACCATAGCATGTTCTGTGAAGTTAAACTAATTTTTGGTTAACCCAGAGTTCAGGCTTAGGATAATGCAGTGTTCCTCAACCTTGGCAAATTTAAGATGTGTGGGCCTTTCGCTTCTCCTCGAAGGAGCTTCTTCAGTTCTGACTTGTTCAATGAAATGCAAGATGTTTTTCAAGGGGGGGGGAACCAAGAAAGAGCCTTAGTGGCACAGGGGACTAAAGTGCTGTTAAGTAGCACCAGCTGCCTGCAATTACTGCGAGTTCAAATCTCACCAGGCTCAAGGTTGACTCAGTCTTCCATCCCTCAGAGGTAGGTAAAATGAGGACCCGGATTGTGGGGGCAATAAGGTGACTGTATAAAAAAGAATACCGCTTGGGGGGGGCGCGAAAGCCCTACTAAGCAGGTATATACAAAAGTATGAAGGCTATTGCTTAACGCATTGTAAGCCGCCCTGAGTCTCCGGAGAAGGGCGGCATATAAATTGAACCAAATAAATAAATAAACAATAAATAAAGTCCAGGTGCATTTTGGAAAAGCATCTTTGGGATAACCATGACCTGGATGATTTGAGAAGCTCCATAGATCAGGGGTCTCCAACCTTGGCAACTTTAAGACTTGTGAACTTCAACTCCCAGAGTTCCTCAAGCAGCAGCAGATAAATTGTCGAATTATGACCGTAATCGAGCACAAAATTATGAAGTTGTGGTAGTTATTAAGCAGATCCCCATGTGAACAAAAGATTTTACAATCTTTTTCTGTGGTGGTCATTAAATGAATCACTGTGGCCATTAAGTAAACACAGAGATTGTTCAGCGGATCCATTGTCTGAATAGGAAGGGAGGAAGGAAGGAAGGAGGGAAGGAAGGAGGAAGGAAAGAAGGAAGGAAGGAGAATAGGAGAGAAAATGGGGAAGGGAGGGAGAGAAGGAAGGAGAATAGGAGAGAGAATGGGAGGGAAGGAAGGAAGAAGAAGGAAGGGAGGGAGGGAGGAAGGAAGGAAGGAGAATAGGAGAGAAAATGGGAAGGAAGGAAGAAAGAAGGGAAGGAAGGGAGGAAGGAAAGAAGGAAGGAAGGAGACTAGGAGAGAAAATGGGGAAGGGAGGAAGAAAGGAAGGAGAATAGGAGAGAGAATGGGAAGGAAGGAAGGAAAGAGAATAGGAGAGAAAATGGGGAAGGAAGGGAAGGAGTGAGGAAAGAAGGAAGGGCAAGGGCAGCAATGGAAGAGGAAGAAGACAGAGGAAAAGGGAAGGGAGAAAAAAGAAAAAAGAAAGGAAGGAAGGAGAAAGTGAGAGATGGACGTTGGACTAGAAGATCTCCAAGATCTCTTTTACCCCTGTTGTCCCAAAGGTGCTTTTTTTCCCCCCAAGAGGCAACTGAACTTTCTGGTTTTGTTTTTTTCTTTGAAGACCTTTCGCTTCTCATCCAAGAAGCTTCTTCAGCTCTGACTGGATATAGTGGGGAAGGGAAGGATTTATACTCTTCGCAGACAGCTGGATATTTGCATCCTTTTAGGGTTGGGTTAGGCTTAAAGAAGCTTCTTGGATGAGAAGCGAAACGTCTTCAGAGAAAAGAGAGAAAGTCCAGCTCCTCTTGGAGAGGGGGAAAAAAGCATCTTTGGGACAATCATCCTGATTTTTAACCTTATTATTCTGACATCGGAGAGAGGCGCGCGCTTGCAGTAACCACAGGATAAGCGCAACCAGAGCATCGAATCCCGCTGCCCTCCTTTCCTAGCCGGTATACGAGACTCAGCCTCCTCCTCGGGCTGCGGATGATGGGTCAGAGGGGCCATCGCCCCCCGGGCGAGCATGTGCCAAGAAGAGCGCACGGTGCTGGGCATCTCCGGCTCTCCCATCCTGGCGAGGGCGCGCTCCGTCCAGGCCAAGCCAGCGCAGCGCAAGGTCCGCCGCCTGCTTGGCTCGCTCGCCGGCACCTCCTCCGGCCCGTGGAGCCCTGCCCTGCCCTGCCCTGCCCAGCCCATCGCTCCCGGCAGGCCGCGTCAAACGCCAGCTGGCGGGCGCGGAGGGGAGGCAGCTCTGCCGGCGCTCGCAGCTCCATCGCGGGCCTCCCGGGGAAGGAGGCGGCGGTGGCAGCCCAGGAAGAGGAGGAGGAGGAAGCCGTAGCGCAGCCCCCGAATCCAGGTAAGCTCAGGAGGCTCCAGGAGACACACCGCGGCCGGGGTCCCCCGCCTGCCCTTCTCCTTCCCTGCGCCTTTACGCATCATCTCTGCCCGGCCGCAGCCGCGGAGCCAGCCGGGCTCCAGAGGCGGGCAGGGGGTGATTGTCTGAATGGGGACGTGGGCGGGGGAGATTAGCCAGTCGCAGCCCCTGATGAGTCCCGAAAGAGCGGGGAAGGGTCTCCCCTGGCCGCCTTTGGAGAGCGCCCTGGATCCGTTCCAGGCACCGGTCTCTCTGCTTGCCTTCCTCCCTTAGATGGTAACCCCTAGGCACCGGAGACTGAAGAAACGGAGTTGGCTTCCCCCATAGCTGTTGTGGCCCTTCGTGCACCCATTAGGCCCCCCTCGTCCCCCTAATATTTGTCCTGCACCCCTTGTGCCCCGAATCCAGCTGTCCTACCCTGCATTTTCACCTCTGATCTTGACTTTAGTCTTACCTGAAGGATAAGTAATAATTTGACATGTGCCCCGAATTATTGGCATGTGCCCCTAATATTTGTCCTGTACTCCTTGTGCCCCCAATATTTGTCATGTGCTCTTTTTTTTTCTGAACCCTTGGGCTTCAAATACTTCTCATGTGCCCCTAATATTTGTCATGTGCACATTGCACCCCTAATGTTTCTCCTGTGCCTCTAAATACTTGTTCTGCATCCCTTGTGCCCCCAAACCGGACTCTTTGCTCTTGCAGTTTACCTCTGATCTTGACTTTAGTCTTACCTGAAGGATAAGTAATATTTGTCCTGTGCCCCTAAAAAAAAAAGAGCCTTGGTAGTGCAGCAGACTAAAGCACTGTTAAGTAACATCAAGCTGCCAGCAATTACTGCAAGTTCAAATCTCACCAGGCTCAAGGTTGACTCAGCCTTCCATCCTTCCGAGGTGGGTAAAATGAGGACCCGGATTGTGGGGGCAATAAGCTGACTTTGTATTAAAAAAAAGAACACCGCTTGGGGGGGCCGAAAGCCCTAATAATTAAGCAGGTATATACAAAAAGTATGAAGGCTATTGCTTAACGCATTGTGAGCCGCCCTGAGTCTCCGGAGAAGGGCGGCATATAAATTGAACCAATAAATAAAATAATAAAATAAAATAAATTATTGTCATGTGTCCCTAATATTTGTCCTGTACTCCTTGTGCCCCCAATATTTGTCAGGTGCTCTTTTTTTCCCTGCACCCTTGGGCCTCAAATACTTCTCAGCCACCCTGAGTCTTCGGAGAGGGGCGGCATATAAATTGAATTAATTAAATTAAATTCTCATGTGCCCCTAATATTTGTCATGGCACATTGCGCCCCTAATGTTTCTCATGTGCCTCTAAATACTTGTTCTGCATCCCTTGTGGCCCCCAAACTGGACTCTTTGCTCTTGCAGTTTGACCTCCGGCCTTGACTTTAAGCTTAAGTACTGGTTCTCTGCACGTTCTCAGGGTCTTGCTTGATTTTCCCCTTTCAGGGCAGCCCAAACTTTCTGTTTGCCAATGACCCGGTTTGGCTTCATGCCAACGGAAAGGCTGGGGATTGGGGCCCCGACTCCAAAGCTGGGTCTCAGAGGTTGTTCCCTTCTGTTACTGCTCTGGATGCGAATCAGGCTCACCTAGGGGCTTGTAGAAACCTGGGGAAGAGGCAGAATCACAGAATTGGAAGGGACCTTGGAGGTCTTCTAGTCCAACCCCCTACTCAAGCAGGAGACCCTAGTCCATTTCAGACAAATGGCTGTCCAGTCTCTTCTTCAAAACCCCCAGTGTTGTAGTAACCACAACTTCTGGAGACAAGTCATTCCGCTGATTAATTGTTCTCACTTTCAGGAAATTCCTCCTTAATTCCAGGTTGCTTCTCTGCTTGATTAGTTTCCATCCATCGTTTCTTGTCCTGTCCTCAGGTGCTTTGGAGAATAGGTGGAGCCCCTCCTCTATGTGGCAGCCCCTCAAATATTGGAAGACTGCCATCATGTCACCCCGGTCCTTCTTTCCATCAGACTAGACATATCCAATTCCGGCAACCGTTCTTTGTATGTTTGATCCTCCAATCCCCATAATCATCTTTATTGCTCTTTTCTGCACTCTTTCCAGAGTCTCACCATCTTTTCTACATTGTGGTGACCAAAACTGGATGCAACATTCCAAGTGTGGCCTTACTAAGCGGTGGTTTGGGTTTGCCCTGTTTGCATTTTGCAGAAATGCTAGGTCTCTTTTGTGTGGTTATGGCAGAATAGCAGAAGGAGATGTTTTCAAACAGTCTGCCAGTTGAATGGGAACGGGTGGGTGGGTGGTGCTGTTACTCCCCTTTGGCTTCTGTTCCTGGATCTGTGTTTACACAGTCCAGGCAGGGGGCATTACAGGAACAGCCTTTCAAAACCCAGAAAAGGGATGCTTGCAAAGAAAAAGCATAAAAACCCCGCCTGGAAAGAAAAAAAAGGAGAATTTTCAGGAATCTCCTGGATCCTCCTGATGCAAAAAAAAAAACAAAAACAAAAACCAGAGGGCTTCGGATCAAGACAGATTCAAACGCTAATCTCTAAATCCCACTGGAGGATACGAATTATCTCTCCCTTGTAATATTTTACATAACGGGGATAATTCAGGAAGAACATTAAAAGAGAGAGAGAGAGAGAGAGAGAGAGAGAGAGAGAGAGAGAGAGAGAAAGAGAGAGAGAGATCAGGTTGGCACAGTCTTGGGGTCTATATTTAGCAGCCCTGTGACCGCGATTTTCTCACGGAAGCTGGCATAGGACTACATGACTGTTACCTCTAGCTAAAAAAACAAATTATTTTGAGAATTGCTTCGAAGTCAAGAAGACGCTATGGAGTGCAGCTTGATGGTTTAATGTTCCTAACATCTGGGTTTTTGTTTTGTTTCTTATATTCGATCCAGATATTTTGGTGGAGGAAAAAAAGACTTTGCAAAGATGGCTCTGTTGAAATGCGGCTGGCTCTGGAGGCAGAGTAAGTCCATTTGGGAATTTCCTCCTGTGGGGTTGGTGGCGTTTGGAATTTCGTTCAGAGGTCGCTGAGGAAGGTGGTTTTTTTCCGTTCGGGTGGCGATGGGTCCTTGGGGAGGCCGGGAGGCCATTGCTGATCTCGGAAGCTAAGCAGAGACAGCTTGGGTTTGTATTTGGATGGGTGGCTCGATGGAAACTCCAGAAGGACGGGATGCCCCAGTTCGTACCCGATGGATCCCTAGACACCCACCACTCATCAGGCTGTTCTTAACAATAATTGTTGACCGTAGAAGAGCCACTGTAGGCGAACGAGGTAAATCTGGAAGCCAGATTGATTTGATGACGGTGAAGAATTGCAAATATCCGAAAGCGATAAAGGAATCTCTATGAGGCAGGCCCCCTGTTTCTTAAGATCAAGTGCAGGTGGTCCTTGACTTACAACTGTTCGTTTAGTGACCGTCTGAAGTTACGAAGGGCATTAAAAGGTTGACTCGCGACCATTTTTCACACTTGTTTAGACCATTGCAACATCCCCATGATTATGTGATCGGAATTTGGGCGCTTGGCAACGGGCAGGTATTTATGACGGTTGCACTGATCTGGTATCACCTGATCACCATTTGTAACGTTTCCGGCTGGCTTTCCGACAAACAAATTCAACGGGGAAAGCCAGATCCACTGAACAACTGCAGAGATTTCCTTAACAGCTGTGGCATAAAATGAGGCATAACTCACTTAACAATTGTCTTATTCAGCAATGGAAATTTTGGGTTCAATTCTGGGTCGTAAGTTGAGGACTCCCTGTACAGTTCTTTTAGGGATGATTCAAAGTTACAAGTGATTTATGAATGTTTTCCACACTTACGACCGTTGCAGCCTTTCCATGGTCACCTGATCAAAATTCAAACTCTTAGCAATTGATTCCTATTTATGACGATTGCAGTGTCCTGGGGGGTCCCATGATCTCCTTTTGTGACCTTCTGAGAAGCAAAGTTAGTGGGGAAGCCCGATTCACTTAACAACCGTTTTACTAACTTAGCAGTTGCAGTGATTTGTGGTACTTAAGAACGGCAGCAAGAAAGGTGGAAAAATGGAGCAAAATTCACTTAACAATTTTATCACTTAGCAACAGAAATTTTGGGCTCAATTGTGGCCATAAGTCGAAGATTACTGTACTCGGTGGGGCACGCTGTCTTCTGGCAGCCTTCAAAGGTTTAACAGATTTAACAGATTAACAGAGTTGGAAGGGACCTTGCAGGTCATCTAGTCCAACCCCCTGCCCAAGCAGGAGACTCTACCTAGGATCAAACTCACAACCTCCTGATTGCAAGGCAAGAACTCCACCTCTAGGCCACAGCAGCTGGGGTCAACTGGGACCCCGGAAGTGGTCCTTTTACGCATTTCTGGATTCTTCCACATCTGGATTCTTCCAAAATGCATTGCAATTCCGTTCCAAAATTCTTCAGCTCTGCAGCCCCTCCTTGCACCAGGCAAGGAGCAGCCCTCATGAAGGTTGAGTGGGTCGATGGTGGGGTTTTAAATGGGGACCTGGAAGGGGTCCAAACCCCCAGGAGAAGAGTTGACGGGAAATCGATGCCGAGGCTCCAGTTGCGGGTGTGTCGGATGACAACCTGGCTGTGGGGTTTTTTTTGCAACATCTGCAGTTTCTCGCCAATGCCTCTTTCGCCTTCTCCGTCCTCCCTCCTGCCGACCTTTTCGCTCAAGGCCTCCGATGAAAAGGTGCAAGGAAAGGAAGCAGGCAAAGTTCCCGGGAAAGAAGAGAAGAAAGAATTTAAAATATGCAGGAAGTCCTCGACTTACAACCATTGGTTTAATGCGGCCATTCGGCCCTGAAAAAAAGGTGACATGACCATTTTTCACACTTACGACCGTTACAGCTTCTCCCCTTGGTCCCATGAATGATCAAAATTGAAGGGCTCGACCACTGACTCGTATTTATGACGGTTGCAGTATCCCGGGGGTCAGGGGATCCTCTTTTGCGACCGCCTGACCAGCAAAGTCAACGGGGAAGCTGGATTCACTTAACAACTGTGTAACTGACTTCACAATGGCAGTGATTCACTTAAGAAGTGTGCCATAAAATGGGGCAAAACTCACTTAAGAACTGTTTCGCTTAGCAGCATGAAATGTTGGGCTCAATTGTGGTCATAAATCAAGGACTACCTGTATTTCTAGTTATAACCTTTGCGAAGAATATTAGAAGCCACTTCTTCCTATCTTTTCTTTTTTTTTTCTGTTTTTTTTCCCCTTTTGCTTTTCCTTTCTTTTTCTTTTTTCTTTTCTTTCTTAGTTTAATTGAGTTGGTTTTTACCTTGAAAGTTTTAATAAAAATTATGGAAAAATAATAAAATTTCCTACTCACTCTTATGGGTTCTTCAATTTCAGGTCTTATGCCAGAGGCCGGGACTTTCAGAGTTCTCCACAGTACAGCTAGTCCTCGACTTACAATGCTTTGTTTAGTGACCGTTCAAAGTGACTGTTTTTCACCCTTACGAACGTCGCAGAATCCCCAAAATTCAGACACTTGGCAACGGACTCATATTTTATGACGGTTGCAATGTCCCCTTTTGCGACCGCATGGAAAGCACAGTCAGGTATAGAAATAAAATTATTATTATTATTATTATTATTAGTGGGGAAACCAGATTCACTTAACAAACCGTGTCACTTACAGTTATAAGTGTGAAAAACAGTCGCGTCAAGTGTTTTTTTCAGTGCCACTGCAACTTCGAATGGTCACTAAACAAATAGTTGTAAGTCAAGGACCATCTGCATGTGGACTGTCGTTTTAGATGGCGCCACTTTGGCTGGCACATTACTCGAGTTGTTTTGGGTTATTTTATAATCACTTTTAATTTGTTTTCTTATTTTCTTGTAGTCTGGGAGCTTTCTAGAGATTTTATTTTTTTGCCAGTGGGCAGCTTCCTAAATCCAAATAGGAAATGACAGAATAGAATAATAATAAATTGTACCAAAGGAGAATAATTAAGATCCTTTGGAATCGTGTCGGTGTGATTACTCAGAGCAAGAACTACAGTCTGACTCTCCCTGTCCAAGCTTTTAAAGTGCTTAAAAGTGCATTGAAGGATAATAACCTATATGCCGGGAAACGGATTATTTACAAGCGTGTAGATGTAAAGCTTAGTCTGCAAGGTGGGAAGAATTCCCCTTTTATATAATGGTGCATTCAGACAGCCCTTACAGGAAATCCTCAAGTTACAGCAGTTCATTTAGTGACTATTTGAAGTCACAACAGCGCTGAAAAATGTGACTTATGATCATTTTTCACAGCTATAACCTTTGTGGCGTCCCCATGGTCACAAAATTTCTAAATAAAATTTCTAAATAAATTTCTATATAAAACAATCAAAATTCAGACGCTTGGCATCTGATTCATATTTATGACCATTGCAGTATCCCCGGGGTCACGTGATCCCCTTTTTGCGACCGCCTGACAAGCAAAGCCAATGAGGAAGCAGATTCACTTAACAATTGTGATACTAACTTAACCACTGCAAGGATTCACTTAACAACTGTGGCAAGAAAGGTCGTTAAAATCAGGCAACACTCCCATTACAAATGTCTCACTGAACAACAGAAATTTTGGACTCAGTTGTGGTCGTAAGCTGAGGACCACCTGTATTGTCGAAAAAAAACTTCTTTTATTGATCAGATTTAGAAACTGCCCATCTCACTCTCCGATATACAGGTAGTCCTTGACTTACGACTGTTCGTTTAGTGACCATTCGAAGTTACAGTGGCATTGAGAAAAATGATATTTGACTGTTTTCAAACTGGGTATATATGTGTGACTGTGTGTGTGTAACAAATGGATAATAATAAAAGGAGAAAAACAGAAAACCGCTGGTGTTTTGGTGAATGATTTATTCATTTTTTTTTTTCCCTGTGGAAATTTAAGAATCTGTGGATTGCTAAGTGATAATTTTATTTTTTTAGCATGTTTAGAACTCCATAAAGAAAAAAACAGGGACGGATTTTTGCGGGCAGGAAAGCCACAAACCATTCTACAAGTAGTCCTCGACTTATGACCACATTGGAAGGGCAAAATTTCTGTTGCCGAAACAGCTGTTAAGTGAGTTTTTGCCTCATTTTACAGCCTTTCTTGCCACAGATATTAAGGGAATCGCTGCAGTTGTTAAGTTAGTAACACGGTTGTTAAGTGAATCTGGCTTCCCCGTTGACTTTGCTTGTCAGAAGGTCGCAAAAGGAGATCACATGAATCCAGGACGGTGCAACCGTCATAAATATGAGTCAGTTGCATCCTAATTTTGATCACATGATCATGGGGAGGCTGCAATGGTCATATGTGTGAAAAAAGGTCGTACATCACTTTTTTCAGTGCCATTGTAACTTTGGTCACTAAATTAACGGTTATAAGTCGAGGACTGCTGTACTTTTTTCCCATTTTTCTTAAAAAAAAATTTCTCCCATGAACCCTGTGCAGGTTCTATTCTGCGACGCTGGAAAAGGAACTGGTTTGTGCTGTGGGCGGACGGCAGCCTTGTCTACTACCAGGATGATACCGGTCGTGAAATGGACGGAAGAATTAACATCAGATCCAACTGCCGAGACGTCAGGACGGGCCGCGAATGCCGGGGTGAGTAGGCTTGGGGTCGCCAGATGGATCTTTTTTCACCAACACCGGACTGAAAGCCCATCCTTTGTTCTTAAACTAAGTTTCTAGTCCTCAAGGCTGTGGGAACTTCTTGGAGACCACCAAAGAAGGATACATGCGAAGATATTTAAATTTGGTAGCTGGAGGTGGGGTGTTTGTATTTGATTGATTGGAGAGGGCTGGCTCCTGGGTGAGGCAAACTGTGCCGTGATTGGTTGGTGTGGGTGTGGAGTGGGAGGTTCCCTTTTTTCCCGCCTTTTTTTCCTTCAGTTTGCTCTCTTTACCTCATGATGTTCCCGCTGTGTTGATTTACCTCACGATGCTCCTGTTAGCCTGAGCGTCTCGTTTGCTGTATATATAGTTATAACATATTTATTTTATACTGTATAAAACTATTAGTTGGTGTCAGTGTCTTGAACTTCATTAGCACACCTGCCGTGCAGTTCCCTGACAAAACACTTCTTCCATTTTCTTTTCTTTAAAACTTACTTATCTAAATTTCAAACATACAAATAGTCCTGGAACCCTCACTTCTTTGGGGCAGCCCCTCAAATATTGGAAGACTGCTATCATGTCACCTCCTAGTCCTTCTTTTCATTAAACTAGACATTCCCAATAACAGAATACCAGAGTTGGAAGGGGACCTTAAAGGTCATCTAGTCCAACCTCCTGCTCAAGCAGGAAACCCTACATCATTCTAGATCAGGGGTCTGCAACCTTAAACTCAAAGAGCCATTTGGACCCATTTCCCCACAGAAAAGAAAACACCGGGAGCCACAAAACCTGGGTGGGCATGGCCAACTCAATGTCACTCACTTCTACCAGTCACATGACACCCCCCTAGCCACGCCTACTCAGCTGGTCATTAGGGCAGAGAATCGTTGTCAAAAAACACCGGAAACCACAAAACCCTCCCTCCCTCCCTCACTTTCCCTCTCCTCCCTCTCCCCCCTCTCTTATCTCTTGTCTCTGCCCTGACCGCTTCCCCATCCCTCCGCTGTCACCCTTATCTTCAGGCCAGGCGAGGAGTGACTGGGAGGGAGGCAAGGGGCGGCCAGCCAGTGGTGGGATTACCCGGCACGGAGCCACAGCAGAGCCGCACGCAGCTCCGGAGCCGCAGATTGCTGACACCTGGCCTAGAGCCTTTTTGATTGGACGGCCTTATAAATCTAATAATTATTAATATTAGTAAATGATGATTTGCGTTGCTCAACCTGGCCCCCATCCCAACTACTTGGAGTACCCTGGGAAGCTCTGAAGCAGTGGTGGTTTCAGCCGGTTTGTACCAATTCGGCGACAAACTGGTAGCGGAGATTGCAGGTGGGCCGCTCACCCGCTCCGGCGTAAAGACGTCCTATTTAGCCACGTTTTTGAGGCCGGGCGCATGCACGGAAGGCATGTGCATGAGCAAAACAAATGCACGGAAGGCCAGGCACATCTGCAGAAGGCGCACACGTGTGCGAAGCGAAGGTGCGCGCATACGGCAAACCAGTGGTAAGAATATGTGAAACCCACCGCTGCTCTGAAGCAACCCACTCCGTTTCTTATTTGATAACAGAATAATAACAGAGTTGGAAGGGACCTTGGAGGTCTTCTAGTCCAACCCCCTTCTCAGGCAAGAGACCCTATATCATTCCAGAAAAATACTTGTCCAGTGTCTTGTTAAAAACCTCCATTGACGGGGGCACCAACATTGTGATGGAATGGTTTTCATTCTTTTCTTTTCTGGTCCTGGCAGTGCGGGGCTGAAATCACCCCAAATGTCCCCTTCCGACACAATGGAAGGACACAGCAAGTCAAAATAGAAGATTCTTTCATTTGACACCAACACAAACTGCCAGCAGTGCTAAAGGAACAGTGGCCGGTTGTCTACCAGCCTCCAGCTAATTCTTGCTTCCTTCGTTTTGTATGTTTGTGAACCTCTATAACTGCCTGGTTTGGTTCTGCAACCCAACAAGACAGACACAGACTTCAGAGGAGAATTAGAACTGCAGAAAAAGCAATTGCTAACAACCTGCCTTCCATGGAGGACCTGTCTACTGCACGAGTCAAAAAGAGGGCTGGGAAAATATCTACAGACCCCTCACATCCTGGACATAAACTATTTCAACTCCTACCTTCAAAACGAGGCTATAGAGCACTGTACACCAGAACAACTAGACACAAGGACAGTTTTTTCCCCAACGCCATCACTCTGCTAAACAACTAATTCCCTCAACACTGTCAAACTATTCACTAAGTCTGCACTACTATTAATCTTCTCATCTTTCCTATAACCCATCTCCTCCCACTTATGATTGTATGACTGTAACCTTCTTGCTGGTATCCTTACGATTTATATTGACTGTTTCCTAATATGATTTGATTGCTTATTTAGAATAGAACAGAATAGAATAACAGAGTTGGAAGGGGCCTTGGAGGTCTTCTAGTCCAACCCCCTGCTTAGGCAGGAAACCCTACACCACTTCATACAAATGGTTATCCAACATCTTAAAAACTTCCAGTGTTGGAGCATTCACAACTTCTGGAGGCAAGTAGTTCCACTGATTAATTGTTCTCAACTGTCTAGAAATCTCTCCTTAGTTCCTGTTGCTCCTCACCTTATTAGTTTCCATCCATTGCTTCTTGTCCTGCCTTCAGGTGCTTTGGAGAATAACTTGACTCCCTCTTCTTTGGGGCAGCCCCTGAGATATTGGAACATTGCTATCATGTCTCCCCTAGTCCTTCTCTTCACTAGACTAGCCATGCTCAGTTCCTGCAACCGTTCTTCATATTTTCAGCCTCCAATCCCCTCATCTTCTTTGTTGCTCTTCTCTGCACTTTTTCTAGAGTCTCCATATCTTTTTTATATCGTGGCGACCAAAACTGAATGCAATATTCCATGGTCATAGGGAACAAATATTCCATTTGTTCCCTATGACCATCATTAAGTGTTGTACCTTATGATTCTGGATGAATGTATCTTTTATGTACTCCGAGAGCGTATGCACCAAGACAAATTCCTTGTGTGTCCAATCACACTTGGTCAATAAAGAATTCTATTCTATTCTATTCTATTCTATTCTATTCTATTCTATTCTATTCTATTCTATTCTATTCTATTCTATGTGTGTGTGTCAATTCCAGGATATTGATGGGCACCGTTCAATCACCTCCTAGCCGTGTGTTCATCTCGCTTTGCTGCCTGATGGGCATTCGAGCTGAAAAGACTTTGCGGGAAGTAATGGTCCCTGCTGGGTTTCGTCTGCAAATATATAGATATATAGAGATATTCTGGATCTTATCCAGGAAAGTGGCCTTGGAACCATCTTCTCTAGCCATCTGTTCGGTTCATGTGCTGGGGACCCATTTCCCAGCCTTGCTTGAGAGATTTGCAAACAGATCCTCCCAATTTCTGGTTGGATTTTATTGGCATGGGTGTGTGATGCAGCCGATGACAGTTGTTGTAAGGCAGGACTTATTTGAGGGAGTCCTTCTGTCGGAGGCAGATTTATTTCTTTCCTTTGACCACCCTGTGCAGTTTCAGTTGAGATTTTAAAATGACAGTTCTGGAACAACAACAAGAAAAAAATAGATCCAGCTGTTTCCTGGCTTCTATAACAGCAAAGGTTGAAATCCAAGGTTGTTGGCACATTTTTTTATATCAGGGATCCCCAATTCCCGGGTTGTGAAGAGGTCCTAGTCCGTGGCCCATTAAGAACCAATCCTTGCAAGCGAGTGAAGCTTCATCAGCACATGTGTGTCATCCAAGTAGCATGTGAAACCATGCGTCCCCCAGTCCGTAAAGTAATGTTTTTCCACGGAACCGGTCTCTGGTGTCTAAGAGGTTGGTGGCCGCTGTTGTAGATGACCCCTGTATTTTTTTACGAAGTCTTTTGGTTTACTTAGGATATTTTGGAAGAGTATATTTAAAAGTATTGTATTTTTCGGAGTATAAGATGCACCCTAGTTTTTGGGGAGGAAAATAAAAAAAAAGAATTCTGCCTCTGCCTACCAGCATCCATCGGAATTCATCTGGCTAGCGTCCTGTCAGTGTGTGAGAGAGTTGAGGGCTGTTTGGAAGCTGAAACAGTATTTGCTGTGTGAGCAACAAGGAAGGAGACAGCAAGGAGCCTGGGCGTGGCTTAGCTCTGCAGCTCTGAGTCTGTGCTGAGCTCGAAACTAGTCTGCTGCTCAAAACTGAAACTGAAACTCCTCTCCTCTGCTTGCGTTTTGCTGGTATTTACTGCCACGTTGGAAAACCTGCTTTTGGTATAGTATATTTACTTCATGTGTTTATATTATATATAAAGAGAAGTTATTGAATCCTGCGGAATCAGTTACTTGTGTGTGCTTTCTGGATGTGATTGCTGCTGCAAACTCTGAGTCTTTGCAGCAAATAGCAAACAGCCAAGTCAGATTCAGCACATTATTGCAGCCTGCTTCAGCACAAACAGCTGATTGGCAGGTGGATCCGCCTCCTGGAATATCCCCAATCAGCTGTTCCAGGCTGCAGGGATTGCCACAGAACATCGCCGCCTCCGTGCCTCGTGATTTTGGCTACATTTGATGTATAAGACGCACGCAAATTTTCACCTTCTTTTAGGGGCGGGAAAAAGTGCATTTATACTCTGAAAAATACAGTACATTTTTATCCCCTCTCCTTTACAGCTAAAGACATTAGGGAGAGTCCCTTTTTTGCCAGACCTCCATTTCTGATGCAGGCTCAGCTGCCTCTTCTCTGACTGTGGTCTAGCCTGCAGCTCTTCCTCCTGACTTCCAAGGTCGTTCCTGAAAACCATCCCAGCTGCCCTCCTGCCAGATCTTCAAGCGTCCGGATTTTGGAAAGAGCTCACGTCTTCATTTGTTTGCCAGACTCTCTGAACGAACATCCTGGGACCTTTTCCTGGGAGGCAACAAACCTTCGTGTTGCGTGTACCATACGGACTAAAGTTTTGGTCCTCTGGGGTCAGCGTGACATCTCTTGTTTGAATTTTGTGGTGTGTCCCTCCGGGGGCATCCGCCAATGCTTCCTACTAATCTCCCGCTGTTTGTTTCGCTGTGACTCCTGACAACTCAAGAGTTGTTTCGACAACTCTTCCCCGAGGTCCTAATTACGCGGTGACTCTCTTGGGTTGCGACAGACAACGAGGACGGCTTTAGAGACATTCGGCCAGCAGCAGTTCCTCCGGGAAGGCGTTCTTTGTTTTCAAAACACACCCACGTATAACAACTGCAGCTTTTATTTTCAAAACTGCAGGTAGTCCTTGACTTACAAACAGTGCACTGAAAAAAGTGACATGACCGTGTTTTTTTTTAAACCCTTACGACCGTTGCAGCGTCCCCAGGGTCCTGTGATTGAAATTCAAATGCTTGGCAACTGACTTGTAATTATGACAGCTGCAGTGTCCCGGGGTCACATTTTGCGACCTTCTTGTTATGGAATGATGGGACCAAACCACATTCCTGAGTCAGTCAGAGACAGTTTTATTGCGCAGTTTCAGAACCAGATTTGTACCTGCAATTCTGAACCCAGAAGAGCTCTGATAGAACTGCTTTTATACATCTCCAAGACGAAGGATTTTGCGAGCACAGCAGTTTTCCATATACGGTTAACATACATTTGTTACATGATAATGGACACTTTCTAATTACTAAATTCTTTCATTATTTTCTAGTTCATAAGATTATCTTAGCTAAACAACCTTCCTCAGTTCTGTGTTTGCTGATGCGTAGATTCATGACTGCTTTGGATAATAAGTAACTTTCTGTTTCTTATGGATGTCCTTGCATCCTTGACAGCTAGGCCCCTCAGAAGATATATATCACCAAGAATGGAATTTAGCTGACTTAGTGTAATCTCTAAACAAGCACATTTCTTTCTTATAATAATGTGAATAAAGAGGGTCCTTCAGTGTTCATATAGCTGACTCTGTACTATTCCTACATCATTGACATTATTCTGACTGGCAAAGTCAATGGGGAAGCCAGATTCGTTTAACAACAAGAAACGTTGTAAAATAGGGCAAAACCCACCAACTGTCTTGCTTAACAGCAGAATTTTGGGGCTCAATTGTAGTTGTTAGCTGAAGACTGCCTGTATATTCAATCTAATAAGAAGAAAAATAAAGAACTCTAATGAACTGTGTAAAGCCTTAGTAAGGCCACACCTAGAATCCTGCCTTCAGTTATGGTTACCACACTATAAAAAAGAGGTTGAGACTCTAGAAAAAGTGCAGAGAAGAGCAAACAGGATGATTTAGGGGACCGGAGACTTAAACATACGATGAACGGTTGCAGGAACTGGGTATGTCCAGTTTAATGAAAAGAAGGACTAGGGGTGACATGATAGCAGTCTTCCAATATCTCAGGGGTTGCCACAAAGAAGAGGGAGTCAAGCTATTCTCCAAAGCACCTGAAGGCCAGACAAGGAATAATGGACGGAAACTGATCAAGGAGAGATTCAACCTGGAAATAAGGAGAAACTTTCTGACAGTGAGAACAATCAACCCATGGAACAGAAGTTGCCTTCGGAAGTTGTGGGAGCTTCATCCCTGGAGGCTTTCAAGAAGAGACTGGACTGCCATCGGTCAGAAATGGTGTAGGGTCTCCTGCTTGTGCAGGGGGTTGGACTAGATGACCTCCAGGGTCCCTTCCAACTCTCTTCATCTGAACAACCTGATGCTGTCAAGCAGCGTTTCTCAATCTCGGCAACTTGAAACTGCGTGGACTTCAACTCTCAGAATTCCCCAGCCAGCAGTTTGCAATGTTTTGGGGTGCCTGATTTCCCTCCCTTCCCCCAAATTTTCTTGTTTTTATTAAATTTATATACCGCCCTACTCCCGAAGGACTCAGGGCGGTGAACAGGCACAAAAAAAAAAATACATAGATACAAAAGTTAGAAACATAATTAAAACCAGATTAAATAATTTAGCCCGGGACAATTAAAAATCCCAATAATTTAAAACAGATTAAAATTTCGATTTAAAAGAATTTTAAAACAGGGGAGAAAATTACGCCAGGCCGGCTTGCTGGAATAGGAGGTTCTTAAGAGCACGGCGGAAAGTGCGCAGATCCGGGATCCTCCGTATCTCTGGGGGGAGCTCGTTCCAGATAGTAGGTGCCCCTGCAGAGAAGGCCCTCCCCCTGGGGGCCGCCAGTCGACATTGTTTGGCTGACGGCACCCGGAGGAGCCCCTCTCTATGAGAGCGTACCGGCCGGTGGGAGGCTGCTTGTGGTAGTAGGCGGTTCTGTAGATAACCAGGTCCTAAGCCTGGTTATGCCTTTCTGGAAGAGATCCATTATAATGCTGACCTGCAGACCCTCCCAAACGATCAAAAATTCAAATGCTTGGCAACAGACTCATATTTATGGCACCCAGGGAGTGTTTCCCACGGCTTTTAGTGTGATAATTATGCCTGATTAATTTCGAGATTGTTGTAATCAGGGGTGAGCTTCATAAATTTTAGCAAGGGGTTCTCTGCCTGGTTGCTGAGTGGGCGTGGCCATGGTGGGTGTGGCCTCCTGCACCACGGCGGGGGAGTGTTTTTGTCCTCCCCAGGCTCTGGAGGCTTTTCTTGAGCCTCCGGGAGGGCGAAAACGGCCTCCCCAGGCTCTGGAGGCTTTCCTCAAGCCTCCGGGAGGATGAAAATGGCCACCCCAGGCTCTGGAGGCCCGTTTCCGGCCTTCCCAAACTTCCGGTAGGCCCGTTTTTCGCCTTCCCCAAGCCTCCGTGTGCACCCTGCACTTACCTGCATCCCAGGTAAGGGTGGGCTGGGGCAGGATGGGCTGGGCAGAGCCAGCCAGGAGTGGGATTTGGGGATTCTCCAAACTCACAGAATCTTAGCTAGAGGTTCTCCCAGTGAATCCCCAGCAGCCCACTCCTCGTTGTAATCCGATGTTGATCCCAGGCGCAGTGATGAAAAAACCCCATTCGTAATAATATTATGACATGTTTCGATCAGTGTTTCCCACCCAGCTTTAATGAAGAGCAGACTAGAGGAAAAGTCCCGTTAACACGACACCCTGGAGCGAATCCAAGCTCAAGATCTTGAGGTCTAGAAACTTGGGATGAAAATAGGAAGAAAACCACCTGGCCGGCTCTCTGTTTTATGTCTCCTCTCCTGTCTTTATAGATATCCAGCCTCCGGAAGGGAAAACTCGGGAGTGCCTGATATGCGTCGTGCAAAGGGACGGCCCCAAGACCATGCTCTGTGCCGAGAGCGAAGACGATGCGTTGTAAGTTGTGGGTCCTCAAGGTGGGGGTCAGAAAAATCAAGATGGCAGCCACGAGCCTGACCCCTTTTTGTGACGGACAGAGTTTCAGTTGTATCACTTTGACAATCATTTCTGTAACCATCACTACTACCACTGATGGTCCATCCAGCGGTTCAAGGCACCGGTTGTTTGGTTCCTTTGTTTTAATGTTATTTATTTATTTTGGTTGTTTACAACGACTGCACCTTTTGGGAGCTCCTGTTGGGAAACACAAAGCTCTCTGTAGGGAAGACACTGGCGCTCTTGTAAAATTTCCATCTCATTGTTTGGGGTTATGATTACAAACCAGAGCCTTTTGCGTTTCCCAATTTCTGGTTTTATCCAAGCTGGAAATTATCTATCACAGAGTGACTGTGCTGTGTCGTAGGTTTCTGGAAAAGGTGTAGGGAAGGTATTCAGACTAGACCTCTCCTAAAGGGATGCGGTGGCTCAGTGGCGAAGACGCTGAGCTTGTCAATCGAAAGGTTGGCAGTTCAGTGGTTCGAATCCCGGTGCCGCGTAACAGGGTGAGCTCCCATTGCTTGTCTCAGCTTCTGCCAACCTAGCAGTTCGAAAGCATGTTAAAAAAAATGCAAGTAGAAAAATAGGGACCACCTTTGGTGGAAAGGCAACAGCGCTCCGTGCGCCTTTGGCGTTGAGTCATGCCGGCCACATGACCACGGAGACGTCTTCGGACAGCGCTGGCTCTTCGGCTATGAAACGGAGATGAGCACCGCCCCCTAGAGTCAGGAATGAGTAGCACATATGTGCGAGGGGAACCTTTAAAAGGTAAAGCTAAAAGGATGGAGAGAGGATTAAGGGCTGGAGTGGGACTCTCTGCAGATTGGTGTGACTTTCATATTGGAAAATATGAAAACTTTTTTTAACAGAATCATTGCAGCTAGCCCTCCATGTACGTCCACAATTGAGCCCAAATTTTCTGTTGCCAAGCAAGACAGCTGCTGAGTGAGTTTTGCCCCCTTTTCTACGATCCTTTCTTGCCTCAGTTGTTAAGTGAATCAACGAAGTTGTTAAATTGGTAAGACGGTTATTTAATTGACTTTGCTTGCCGGAAGGTCCCATCACATGATCCCGGGGGCACTGCCAATGTCATAAATGAATGCCAGTCGCCAAACATCCCAAATTTTGATCATGTGACCGTGGGGAATGCTACAACGGTCATTAAGTGTGAAAAATTGTCATAAATTGCTGTTTTAAGTGCAGTTGTAACTTCCAACGGCCACTAAACGAATGGTTGTAAGTTGAGAACGACTTGAAATAAGAGGAATAGGAACAATAATATATTCAAAGGCCTGGGTGTTTATTTAGTGTAATACAGGATCCCTGCCAGTGTGGGCTCATTTAGCAATCCGTGATCAAAGCCAACCCTAATTTAGCGCAGGGTTTTTCAAACTTGGCACTTAAACAAATGTCTCACTTAGCAACAGAAATTCTGGGCTCAATTATGGTCATACGTCGAGGACTACCTGCACAGGTAATCCTTGATGTACAACAGTTCATTTAGTCACAGTTCAAAGTTACGACGTCACTGAAAAAAGTGACTTATGACCGTTTTCCACACAGCAGCATCCTGATGGTCACGGAATTGAAATTCAGACACTCGGCAATTGACTCGTATTTATGACAGTTGCAGTGTCCCAGGGTCATGTGATCCCCTGTTGTGACCTCCTAATAAGCAAAGTCAGTGGGGAAGCTCGGATTCATTTAATGACTGCGTTACTAACTTAACAACTGCTGTGATTCCCTTAACATCTGTAGCAACGGAGATGATAAAACGGATGAAATTCACTTAACTGTTTCATTTAGCAACACAAATTTTAGACTCAATTGTGGTCGTAAGCCGAGCAAATAACTACGTGTATTTGCAACTCAGATATACGTTCGTCATCTTCTGACTAAGATTTCCGATTTTATGTTCTATGTTTTATATTTTACTGAAATATAACAGAGTTGGAAGGGACCTTGGAGGTCTTCTAGTCCAACCCCGTTTAGGCAGGAAACCCTACATCATTTCAGACAAATGGTTGTCCAATCTCTTCTTTAAAACTTCCAGTGTTGGAGCATTCACAACTTCTGGTGGCAAGTTGTTCCACTGATTAATTGTTCTCACTGTCAGGAAATTCATCCTTAGTTCTCAGTTGCTTCTCTCCTTGATTTAGTTTCCATCCATTGCTTCTTGTCCTGCCCTCAGGTGCTTTGGAGAATCGATCCACCCTATTTTCCCTATATGACGTGAATGTGCCATATGATACCTAAAAAAGAAATACCTGGGAAGACTGACTAAAAGCACAGGAGGATATGACTTCAAATGAGCCCCTCCTGAGCTTCTTGACCGCATTAGACAATCTCTGCAGCAATAGAGATCTTGGCACACTGATCACCCTCCAGGACTAACCGGAGGTGGCAGGAGGGTGACATCTCAGCTAATCCTGCTTAGACCTGTGACTCAAGATGATTTGAACGCCTCGAGTGACCTTGAGGTCACGGTGAAGCCAGGATTAAGATAATCTCCCTCTAGGAGAGCTCCCAGCGATGGATGTCACCGAGATGAGCAAAAGTTGACAGGAAGGTCTTTACCTTCTCACCTCCCGTTTGGAGAAGCATTTTGTAAAGCCTTAGTAAGACCACACCTAGAGTATTGCATCCAGTTTTGGTCACCACAATGTAAAAAAGATGTTGAGACTCTAGAAAAAGTGTAGAGAAGAGCAACAAAGAGGATGAGGGGACTGGAGGCTAAAACATATGATGAACGGTTGCAGGAACTGGCCATGGCTGGTCCAGTGAAGAGAAGGACCAGGGGAGACAGGATAGCAGCCTTCCAATATTTGAGGGGCTGCCCCAGAGAGGAGGAAGGGGGTCAAGCTATTTTCCAAAGCACCTGAAGGCCAGACAAGGAATCATGGATGGAAACTGACCAAGGAGAGATTCAATTTAGAAATGAGGAGAAATTTCCTGACAGTGAGAGCAATCAACCCATGGAACAGAAGTTGCCTTTGGAAGTTGTGGGAGCTTCATCCCTGGAGGCTTTCAAGAAGAGACTGGACTGCCATCTGTCAGAAATGCTGTAGGAGGGTCTCCTGCTTGGGCAGGGGGTTGGACTAGATGACCTCCAAGGTCCCTCCCGACTCTGTTCATCTGTTATCTGTTTGAGGAACGCTTTCAACCCTAATGCAGAGCTTCACCAGCTCAAGTTTCTTGCTGGTGAGGCCCTCACGGATTCCACCCATAGAAAAGCTGGTGCCCTGGACAAGTCTTACGTAGAATCCTAAGGCTGGAAGGGACCTTGGAGGTCATCTAGTCCAACCCCCTGCTCAAGCAGGAGACTCTATACCAGTGTTTTGTCAACCTCGGCGGTTTGACGATGCGTAGACGTCGACTCCCAGAATTCTCCAGCCAGCTATGCTATTGAAGCTACTGGGTGGTGGGGTTTGACGTCCTCACTTCTTCAAATTGCCAACGGTGAGAAAAACACTGCTCCAGAATAGAGGAAGTCCTCGACTTACGATCACACCAATTTTATGTTGCTAAAGGAGACCGTTTTTAAAAGAGAATTTCGCCTCATTTTACGGACCTTCCTTGCCACGATGGTTAAGGGAATCCACTGCGGTTGTTAAAATAGTAATACGGTTATTAATCGAAGTTGGCTTCCCCGTGGAAGTTAGAAGGTCGTGAAAAGGGATCACGTAATCCCGGGACACTGCGATTGTCATAAATGTGAGACGGTTGCCGATCTTGGAACTTGCTTCCATAGTTTATTCTTGAAGGGAGTGGTAGGAAAGGAACTGCCTTCCGCCGTGCCCTTAAAACTTTCTTTTTCCAGCAAGCCGGGCTGGCTTAACATAACATTTTTAAAAAAAGCATTTTTAACTGGTTTGTCATTTTAAATTGGGGCCAAATTAATATATATCCTTTTAATTGTTTTTAATGTTTGTATTGTATGTTTTTAGCTGGCTGTACACCGCCCTGAGTCCCTCGGGAGAAGGTGCGGTATATAAATTCGAAATAAATTAAAATAAATAAAAAAAAATATGAGGGGGGGGGTTTAAAATCCATCACTTTCCCTCCGGCAGAGACAAGTGAGCTTAGCTGATTTTTCTGTTTCTGTCCGCAGAGCCTGGAAGATGGCCATTTTGGAAGCTAAAGCAACCCAGGTGCGTTTCCTTTTGTGGCCTTTTCTTAAAGGTGGGGGTGGGTACCTGAAAATTACTGAATGCGCTGATAGAAGAGAATATTGCTAGTAGCTCAGGGTTGAACTGTGGGGTCCTTGGTGCTCTCTGAGTTTGGTTGTTTTCTTGTAGACGTTTCCTGACCCAACTAGGTTACATCATCAGTGCTAAAAAGAAGTGGGAACATTTGTGGAAAAGAGGAGGAGGATGGAAAGGACTGTGGGGTCCTTGGTGCTCTCTGAGCTTGTTTCTTTTGTTTGCAGACATTTCATGACCCAACTAGGGAACATCATCAGTGCTAGAAGGGTTTTGCAGAGGACGAGGAGGAAAGGAGAATGGACATAAGGAAGAGGAGGACTGTGGGGTCCTTGGTGCTCTCCGAGCTTGTTTCTTTTGTTTGCAGACATTTCATGCCCCAACTAGGTAACCTCATCAGTGCTAGAGGAGAATGGGGTTTTACTGAAAGTCGTTCTCAGATCGACCGAATTAATTTGCTACGGTAGTTCTAGTCGTTGACTAGGCAGTGGTGGACCTGGTTAAGGCCTGCATGGGAAGCCAGAAAGGAGGTCCAAAAGTGGCATCCCGGATTGAGAAACTGGGAAAACATCCAGGAGAAGGCAGATGGGAGAAAACGTTGGCCAGAAAACCTCAAGGTTGAGCAACTCAGCATTTCTCAGCCGGAGCAACTTTTTAAGCCGTGAGAACGTCGTCTCTCAAATTTCCCCAGCCGACCTGTGAATTTTGCAGAGTCACTTTCCGCTTTTCGGCTTCGTCCGACTGCTGATCGATGAGTGCAATTCATGGGAGGTTGCAGAAACGTTTTAAAGGCTGGATCGATTTTGTAAAGAGCCAGAGACGCCGGAACGAAAAGAAAAACAAAAATTGGGTGGCCAGCCATAAGTCCCTGCGGGGATCGGAGGTTGTCGGTTAGCGTGTCTCCCTTGCAACAATGGACGTCTCTCCTCACAGCTAGGAAAGCCAGCACAGAGTCTTTATTTATGAGGGGTCCTTGGTGCTCTCTGGTTGTTTCCTGGCGGACGTTTCATTACCCAATTAGGGAACATCATCAGCGTTACAAGGGAGTGAGGTAAACGGAGAGCAAACCCAACTGATTAGGTTACCTAGTTGCGCCAAGAAATGTCTGCAAAGAAACAGCCAAGCTCAGAGAGCATCAAGGACCCCCACAGTCCTCCTCTTCATAAACACAAAACTCCCTTCTAGCCCTGATGATGTAACCTAGTCAGGTAATAAAATGTCTGCAAGAAAACCACCGAGTTCAGAGAACACCAAATCCTCATCCTCCCTGTAAACCAGGGGTGAAATCCAGCAGGTTCTGGAGAACTGGTAGCGGAAATTTTGAGCAGTTCGGAGAACTGGCAAATACCACCTCTGGCTGGCCCCCGAGTGGGGTGGGAATGGAAATTTTGCAATATCCTTCCCCTGGAGTGGGGTGGGAATGGAGATTTTGCAGTATCCTTCCCCTGCCATGCCACCAAGCCACACCATGCCCACCAAGCCACGCCCACAGAACCGGTAGTTAAAAAAAAAAAATTGGATTTCACCACTGCTGCAAGCCCACTCCCTTCCAGCACTGATGATATACCTTAGTCAGATAATGAAATGTCAAGAAAACAACCAAGGACCTCACAATTGTCTTCTTTTTCTTCTTCCTCCTCCTCCTCCTGATTTTGAGGGACAAGGCGGAAGAGTTGCAACCAAAGTCCATGGTCAGAGAAGAGAAATCTGATTCCAGGACAGAAATATAATTTAAGACACCATCCCAAGCTTAATTCTCCCTAGTTCTTATGAAGAGAAAGGAAGGGAGGTGGGATGTGAATTTAAACTTTCCCATTTCTATTCCTGTAACCTTATAATAAAAGTCGCATTAGCTGCTGTGTCTTTGGTCTGCAAGGTTAGTTTAGAATAGAATAGAATAGAATAGAATAGAATAGAATAGAATAGAATAGAATAGAATAGAATAGAATAGAATAGAATAGAATAGAATAGAATAGAATTCTTGATTGGACACACAAGGGATTTGTCTTGGTGGATACGCTCTCAGTGTACATAAAGGAAAAGGTACATTCATCCAGAATCATAAGGTACAATACTTAATGATGGTCATAGGGAACAAATGGAATATTTGTTCTCTATGACCATGGAATATTGCATTCAGTTTTGGTCGCCACGATATAAAAAAGATGTGGAGACTCTAGAAAAAGTGCAGAAAAGAGCAACAAAGAGGATGAGGGGACTGGAGACTAAAACATATGAAGAATGGTTGCAGGAACTGGGTATGTCTAGTCTAGTGAAGAGAAGGACCAGGGGAGACATGCTAGCAGTCTTCCAATATCTCAGGGGCTGCCCCAAAGAAGAGGGAGTCAAACTATTCTCCAAAGCACCTGAAGGCAGGACAAGAAGCAACGGATGGAAACTAACCAAGGAGAGAAGCAACCTGGAACTTAAGGAAGAATTTCCTGACAGAGCAATTAACCATTGGAACCGCTTGCCACCAGAATTTGTGGGTGCTCCAACACTGGAGGTTTTTAAGAAGAGACTGGACAGCCATTTGTTTGAAAAGATAGAGAGTTTCCTGCTAAAGCAGGGGGTTGGACTAGAAGACCTCCAAGAGCCCTTCCAATTCTGTGATTCTATTCTATTCTATTCTAAATAAGCAATCAAATCATACTAGGAAACAGTCAATATACATCGTAAGGATACCAGCAAGAAGGTTACAGTCATACAGTCCTAAGTGGGAGGAGATGGGTGGTGGGAACGATGAGAAGATTAATAGTCATGCAGACTTAGTGAATAGTTTGACAGTGTTGAGGGAATTATTTGTTTAGCAGAGTGATGCCATTCGGGAAAAAACTGTCCTTGTGTCTAGTTGTTCTGGTGTGCAGTGCTCTAGAGCAGGGGTCCCCAACCTTTCGGACCTCAAGGATCGCTAAATTCATAATGTTAAATCCCGCGGACCACTAATACGATCTGCCTAATGACCGGCTGGGTAGGCGTGGCTAGGTGGTCATGTGACTGGTTGGGCGTGGCCAACTCGGCGTCACTCACATCGATGGGTGCCTCACCAGCTTCTACTCGCCACTCCCTTCCCAGCCACTTCTCACCTGTCCGCCCGGGCTCCTTAGGGCCTCAACAGGAAGCAGCTGTTGGAGCTAAGCAGCCACCATGAGAAAGAGTTGGCAAAACAGCTCAGTTCAAATTGGATCTGGCTGAGAAGGAGGCTCAGCAGAAGCACCTCACTGAGGACTAGGAGCACAGGTTTTCCAAGCAGAGGGAAGACCTGCAGGAGTGCAAGGCCAGGTACCGGCGCCTGGAGGCTCAGTGGGCTGAGATGGTCAGCCAGTTCCAGGCCACGATGCAGTCCCACTGGAACGAGGCCCTCTGGTTCTTCGCCACCAGCGGCGCTTCCCTCCAGCCTTCGCCCAAACCCCCGCACCAGGAGGCCGAAGCAGACCCCGAGTCGGAATTTCTGCCCCCCTCCGACCCGCAGAAAAAGAGCCCAAAGGGGGAGACTCTCTGTAGCAACACAAGCGTTCATTGCACGTATCCGGCTCAGGGGCCGTAGTTTGAGGACCCCTGATTTAGTGCAATATAAAAAATGCAGTGGTCCATGGACCACCAGTTGGTGACTGCTGCTCTATAGCGTCATTTTGAGGGTAGGAGTTGAGACAGTTTATGTCCAGGATGCGAGGAGTCTGTAGATATTTTCACAGCCCTCTTTTTGACTCGTGCAGTAGACAGGTCCTCCATGGAGAGCTGACAGGCATCTCTCAGGGATGGCGTAGGCAGGGAAACCTGCGTAGGTGTGGGAGGAATAGGGTTGGACTTCATGACCTCGAAGGTCCCTCCCCATTCTGTGATTCTGTGCCTGCAGCCCAAGGGGACCCAAGCTGCTTTGGGATCTCAGGCGCTGACGTTGGGCTGCCTTTCTGTCTTCCAGGTTCACCTCTACGACCCTTACGACGACTACTACCAAACGGTACCTCTGGACTCGCACCAGGCGATGTACGTCAGCTCGGATTACCACGGCAACCCGTATGTCGGTAGGTCTGGCAGCTCCTATCCCAGTTAACGTTTAAAGAAGGGATCCAATGACAGGTTGTCCCCGACGTACGGACACCATTTGAGCCCAACATTTTTGTTGCTAAGCGAGACAGGCATTAAAGCGAGTTTTGTCCTGTTTTACCACCTTTCTTGCTACGGTTGCTAAGTGAATCACTCCAGCACCAGAATTCCTGCTTTCTAGCCTGGTGCCCTTAGCAGCCTTCATTGGCCCTGCAGGCCTTCCAAATATGGCTATTTAACAGAATTCTAACAGAGTTAGAAGGGACTTTGGAGGTCTTCTAGTCCAACCCCCTGCTCTGGCAGGAAACCCAATACCATTTCACAGGGTAGGATCAGAGAAATTGTGTTTTTCCCAGCTGTCTGGATCAATAGGAGCTCTGAATTGTTCCCTTCTTCAGTTGATGCACTGAACAGAGCCTGGTGGTGCAGCAGACTAATAGCCTGTTATTAACATTCAGCTGCCTGCAATTACTGCAAGTTCGAATCTCCCCAGGCTCAAGGTTGACTCAGCCTTCCATCCTTTCTAAGGTAGGTAAATTGAGGACCCGGATTGTGGGGGCAATAAGCTTTGTATAAATATACAAAAGGATGAAGGCTATTGCTTAACGCATTGTAAGCCGCCCTGAGTCTCCGGAGAAGGGCGGCATATAAATCAAATTTAAAAAAATAAAAATAGCCTGTATTAAATTCCAATTCCATTCCTATGGGCTCCTACGCATCTCGAGGGCTGAAGTGACATCTGGTGGCCAAATTGGGTATTGCCACAGATGCAACAGAAGGAGATTTTTTAAAAAAAATCTTATTACAGGTAGTCCTCCATTTACAAGAGTTTGTTTAGCGACCCTTCAAAGTTACAACAGCACTGGAAAAAAAAAAAGCCTTATAACTCCTTTTCGCACTTAACAATCGTTACAGCATCCCCATGGAGCGGATGATGATCCAACATTGATCACGTGATTAAAATTCAGATGCTTGGCAACTGGCTCATATTTATGACGGTTGCAGCGGGATCCCTTTTACGACCTCCTGACAAGGAAAGCGAAAAGGGAAACCAGGTTCACTTAACAACCATGTGACTAACTTAACTGTTGCAGTGATTCGCTCAACCACCGTGGCAAGGAAGGTTGCAAAACGGGTCCAAACTCAACAACCGTCTCGCTTAGCAACGTACACGTTTGGCTCAATTGTGGCCGTTAAGTCGAGGACCACCTGTACAACTTTGGAACGTTCGTGCATTTCAAGTTAAAAACCTGATGGCGTTTCTCCTTCCTTTCTTCCTCGCAGCCCCTGGAATGACCCACGTCATCATCCGCGAAGACCCCTACCGCGTTTCCGGAGATCAGATGGCTCTGGGTCTCCTGGCTGGAGCAGCCACGGGGGCCGCCTTAGGCTCGTTCATGTGGATGCCTTGTTGGTTCTGAAGCCCTGATGCTCTTTGGTAGCCTGGCTGACTCTCCCCCCTTTTTTTTCCTGGCAAGGCCTCCCCCCTCCCTATTTCGAAAGCGAAGAGGGAGAACCAAAGAAGACGGAGTCACTTGGCACATAAATTCCCGGGGATTTTGCAAGATCCTTAGGAACGTTTTAAAGCACCTGCTGTGTTAACAGTAACCGTGGCCAATAGATCCCATGCTGCACCGCTAGGCCCTCCCTGGGTCATTTAGGCTCCCTGGGGCAGATCTAGGGCAGACCGGGAGACCGCTGACCCTGCCCCAAATCTATAGGTTGCGTTTCCATGGGGAATTTAGAAGGTTAGGTAAGGAGTTGCCACCAGCTTGGAAATCCGTTTAATCTGGCCCGAAGCTTTCATAAAATCTCTTTCTGCACTTTACACACAAGCCACGTTCCCGTAACATCCTTGGCTAAGGTGGAATCTCAGTTAGCCTTTTTTGCAACTTGGGGCCCAAGTCCTGCTGATGGGTTTTTCCGTAATCAGGTTCAACGTGTTGTGTGAACGAAGGCGACTCCCCCTTTTTAAAAAATTTCTGGCTTAATGTATTTGCAACGGTGCCTTGTGCATCCTTGAGACGGGGGGCATTCTTGGCATCTTCCAGCTCGGATTATGTGGCTTGGCTGGTTCTTCTCCAGGGATGCCCCCCTTCCACCAGGGTATGGTCAGAAAAGTCAAGATGGTGTCACAATCTGTGTGTGTGCTGCACTTTACAAATATCCAGATTCAATGGCATCGTTGTGCAGGATCTTTTTAACCATACCCCGTCAGTACAATTCCTTTGCCCACTTTTGCTAGCCTCTTTCCTATCTCTTCCACCTCTTATGGTGGAAGCTCTCAAAAAGTTTATGTTAAAGAGTTGCTACATCCTGCCTGGGCTCCCAATTGAGCTAAGCCCATTCAGTTTGTCCATTTGGACAATCATTTGTCTGAAATGGCAGAGGGCTTCCTCTTTGAGCAGGGGGTTGGACTAGAAGACCTCCAAGGTCCCTTCCGACTCTTACTATTCTGAAAGTCCATCTCCTTTACAGCCTGAGAAGCTAGGGAGGGTCTCTTCTGAGCCTCTTGCCCCACCTGTTATGCAGCCGAGGGTTATGTGGTCTTTTATCTGACTGTTTCCTTGGCAGCATCTCCTTACCTGGTCTCCCAAAGTCTTTCGCACAGACCATTGTGGTCCCCTTCTCTATTGTTATGTACCAGGCCAAAGTGAAGCTGGCTTGTTGGAGGTTGAAACCCAGATCCGTGGTCCGTGTCGTGTGAACCAGGATGTGACGTTTAGCTATGCGCAGGTTGAGTTGGCACGCAAACAGTGGGAATGCCAGGTGAAGCATCTCAGCCGTCCTGGGCGAAGGCATTCAGCAAGATTATAGCCGTGTCTTCCTGTCCTTCGTTATCGAGTGCTGGGTTTGAGGTTAAGGAATGAGCGGTGTGAATATGCACCGTGAATATATATTTTTGGGGGTGGGTTTGTAGCTAAGGGTGCCTTGGACCATTTTATCTCTGAAAGTTGGGAAGAACTAACCCATGAGGTAGGTTAGTAGGTTGCTGTGAATTCTGGGAGGAAAAGTCTGGATTGCAATCTTAACAAATTCAAAGTAGACAGCACAATTTTTGCACCTGCTCCAATTTTTTTCCAGAGTTTTATTTTCGTGTCTGCCACAAAGATGCCAATGGAGCCCGGTGGCTGGTTCATCCTTGGGAAGGCGTGTAAATGCCGCCCTCGCACAGACCCGTTGTGGGGTTGGCACAGCTAAACGACTGAAACACTGCCAGGTCAGCAAGAGATTTCTGGGCCCACAAAAATCACAATTGCTAGCAGCAACAACGGCTGTGATTCACTCCAGTAAATACTTGCCAGATCTTTCTGGGTTGCAAGGGTAACCCTTGTTTCCAGATTAACCTATCGCTTTCCTTACAGCAAGGACCATTTTTTTTAAAGGAAAGGATCTCACAAAAGGCAAAATTGGATCTTGCAAAAAAAAAAATAATGTTCAGAGGGAGCATTTCCTGCACATATCCAGGCACATCACCGAATGAGAGTTGCATACGAAATGTAATAGTTTTGGATTTAATAAAGGGAACAGCTCGCATTTTAAGGGAGAAGCCGCCGGGAAGCGGTGCCCGTGGTTCTTGATGGATGAGGCTTTTTTTTTTAGCCAGCGGCGGCTCTCCTGAGGGTATCCCATCCCTGCGGCAGGGTCTGCCTCATCTGGTGGGTTGGGGGCTTCCCAAGAACGCCGAAAAGTGGGCCAGCCGGGCCTCCCCCTTGAGCCGCAGCACAAACGCACCTCGCTTTGCTTCTCTCTGCGCTCTACGCGGCCACCATGTCCCAGTTGTTAGTTTGCGGATTGATTCCATCGAACGCTTAAAGCACTAATAATAATAATGATGTATATTTTGGAAGAAAAACTATTTAAGGATTAAAAAAAAAAACAACTTGCTCTTCAACACCGTGGCTGTTGTCTGTTTTTCCACATCACCACACTGCCATCACCACGCTCTCAAATGTATTTAAAGCTCACCTGCATTTAACTTAATTAGGGGAGTAGGAAAGCTTACCTGAAAACAATGCACCAGGATTGTCGTTTCCGTTGTGTGTTTAAGGGAAGGAAAGAGTTGAGTTTATTTTCCAATTACTTCCTCCCGGTAAGTTAAGAACAGACTAAATAACAGCATTTGGCCTTTTTGATGCTTCCACGAAGCTGCTTCCTTCAGTCAACAGGCCTGCTATTTAACCACTGCCGTTTCTCAAGTAATGTTAAAAATAAATAAATAAAAAGTTCAGTCTTGAAACTGTCGTTTACAAATGGTGGATAATGCACGCGCCCGCACGCTCCTCAGACTATTCCTGATCACAAAAAGCATCGCTATGCAGAATGCGGGAAAGAATTAAGAGAGAGTAAAACAAAAGACGGTACAAGAAAAAAAGGAGCAAGCTAAATCCAGTTCAGGACGGAAGGGGAATCTACATGTCCCAGGATCATGTTGCAGGATCCGATCTGGGTCCGTCACCTGGAACAGAGGTTTTTGTCTTCCGAGCTTTCGGACTCGTGCTGGAACCCATCCTCGGGGAACTTCTCTCTAGCAGAGTGTGTGCTTTGGGTGGGTTGTTCTATGTGTGGTGTTTATATGGTGTGTGGTTGTGTAGCTTTTAAGTTGTTGATTGGGGTGGGGTGTTGATGGCTATCAAGTCGTTGGCGGTTGTTTGCTTTGCTGCCCAGCCCTCCTCGCCTCCTATGTATTTGGTAACCTGGTGGTAAATCAGCACTCCTGGTTTACAGGGTCCCGTTTCCCAGGCTTCAATCATTTCTCTGGCTGTTTTTGTGCCTGCTCGGCCAACAATCTGAATAGCTGCAAATCTAGTTCTGTTTTTGTGAAGCAGCTTTACAAGTAGTCCTCGACTTAACCACAATTAGGACTGGAATTTCCACAGTCATAAGCAGAATCAGACCCAATTTTAGAATTTTTATGGCAGTGAAGTGAATCACTAGTGGTTAAACTAATCGATTATGTATGCTGGCTGGGGAATTGTGGGAACTGAAGTCTACCGATCTTAAAGTTGGCACGTTTGGGAAACTCTGTCCTACTTGGGAGTTGCACGCTTGCTTCCCATCTGGGAGACCAAAGAATTGATGTGATGCTCAGCTCCGGCACCGAGTTCAAAACAAGCCAGAACTACCGAGGCCAGCGATGGGGAACAGGGGAAGCGAAAGAAACAAGAGGGAGAAACCGTTTTCTCGTAGTGTTTTGATTAGATACTTTATTGGAAGCAAAAAATTCTGTGCATGTTTTAAAAAATCCAACCCGTGTACACATTTAATTGCTCGAAGAACCCAAACCACAGAAAACTCAGTTATTCAAAAGCAGCGAGATGGGATTCTTTGTTTAAGTTTCTGCACACGTAAAATAACAACGATACAAGGAAGGAAAAAAAAAATAATAAGTAGCCCAGTCTCCTTTTGAGTTTCTTTTCAGGATTAAGTTCGCCGTCGGTTGCCATAGTTTAAACATTTATTTCTAGACATGCTACTTTGAAAAAAAAAAAGGAAAAAAGGAAAAAGAAAAATCACCTCTTCAATATTGCATGAAAAGCATTTGTATGTCAATCTGCCCTTTTAACATGAGATTATGCAAAGTTACTGGAAACTCAAGTCAAAGTGATGGATTTGCCATTCCGACTCCACAATGCAAAGGGGTGGGGGTGGGTGGTGGGTGGGGGGATTTTGCGTTGAGGCCTCTGCACCGAGCTGGGCTGCCTTTTCAAAAACCAGCCCTTGCGAGAGAAAAAAAAGCTTGTCCCACATCGCCCCCCCCTTCCCCTCCACAAACTCTCCTGGCAAACAATGTATTTACAATTGTGTTAACTTACATAGCAACTTCACAATGACTAGTACTATTAAGAGTGCACTTCTGTAGCGTGGCTGTGTGTTTGTGTGTGTGTGTGTTTGTGTGTGTGTACATGAGATAGAATGAATGTCTGTTTCCGAAATAAATCGCGGAATCTTGCAACATTCCCAAAGCTTTAAATGGATTAACCAATTCAAAGAGAGAGAGAGAGAAGAGAGAGAGAGAGAGAGAGAGAGACAGAGGGAAAGAAAGAAAGAAGAAAGAAAGAAAGAAAGAAAGAAAGAAAGAAAGAAAGAAAGAAAGCCTTGAATGCTAAACAAATTTAAAGCAGAGAAAATAAATATTGAAGGAAATCACCGTTAATGGTAGTTAAGTTAAACATAATACTAAACAAACGGTTACTTAACCGAATTATGTAGTACATACATAAGACTCAAGACCGAATGTAAAAAAAAAAGAAAAACAATAATAATGCTGAAAGTAAAGGCAACAGTCTGCATAATTGAAAGTTTTGTTTCTACCTTATGCAACAAACCCCCCCACCCCATAATCATCCTTTTAAAAGGGACTTTTATAACTCTCCCTGCATCCAGTTGAGTATTGAGCTGCCCAACAGCCTCATTTATCCTGGTCCTCCTTCCTCACTTTACGGAGAATTTACAAGCTTGGGCGTAGTGTACATGCCTCCATTTTAGAAACGGATTTTTCACGTCCATCGTTTCTCTTAAAACAGGCCGAACCCTGTTTTCAAAGCATCCTCCCCCCAAGTGCCTGTTCTGAAAACGTTCCCAGAAACGCAAAAAACCAACCAGAGACTGCATTGCGACCCAGTTTAACAGGGGGGGGGTTTCTCCCAGGAATCAAAAGAGGTTTTTCTAAGCCCTTCGGTGGGTGTCACACAGAAGATCTGGAACCGTGCACCTTAAAAAAAAATTTTTTTTTCCACCAGCTGATGCCGAAAGGCGGTTTGTTCGCGCTATAAAAGTAATAAACAAACGCGATTGAAAGCACGATTTAACCGGCCGTCTTTCTGAGTTTTGCTTGTCCCAAAAAGTTGGACTGAAAAGGCAGCGCAGTCTCTCTTAGGTTTTTTTTTTTTTGCTCTTCTGTTAACGCTCTACGGCCTGCAACGGCGTCTTCTACCCTGCGACGCGCGCCCCTTGCCGGCAAAACCAGGCGCCATCCTTATTCCTCTCCCCGCTCACTCCCCACTTTCCATCCATTTGACAAGTGCAAAGTTTTAATTTTCTTTGTAAAAGAAAAAAGAAAAAGGGAAAAAAAAAAAAAAAAGGAACAGACCTCAACAAAGTTGTACTCAACTTTCTAGAACTACTGGAATACAGGTAGGGTGGTTTGGGCTCTTGCAACCCCTTTCCTTCTCTTATGCAATGAAGACACCGACTTTTTTTTTGTTTCTTTTGTGCTTGTGAAGCTAACAGATCATCTTCACGAGACAGGCAGCGATGAGGATCCGTGCTGGGGTTAAGTGGTGGTGGAGGAGGAGGAGGAGGAGGAAGTAGGGGAAGGAGGAGGAGGCAAGGCAATCGTCACACGGCGGCTGTCAAGGGGGGAGAGAAGGAAGGAAGGAAGGAAGGAAGGGAGGGAGGGGGGCAGGAGAAGCCAGTGATGGTTTGAGTGAGGAAGGAAGGAAGGAAGAAAAAACAAAACAAAAAACAAAAGAAAACCCCAACACACTATTAGCAGGAACAGCCTCCTTCGCTGACTGGCTGCTCTTGAGGCTTTTCAAGTTTGATGTCGATCACTGGGGAAAGAGAAGTTAAGGGAAATGGAAAACACAAATACACCGCCTCTCAGCTCCGGTTTTATGAATGGCGCACAGGAAGGGGCCCGGGATGTGGAATTTGTAGCAGAGGATTGAACGGTGGGGGAGGGAGGGGGTCCTTGGGGATCTCCGAGCTGGGTTGCTTTCCTTGCAGACATTTCATTACCCACCTAGGGAACGCCATCAGTGTTGGGAGTGGGGTTTGCAGGGAGAAGGAGGGGAAGGAGGAGGAGGAGGAGGAGGGCTGCAAGGTCCTTGGCGCTTGGTTATTTTATTGCAGACATTTCATTACCCAATTAGGGAACCTCATCAGTGCTAGAAGGGAGGGGGCTAGCGAGGAAGAGAGCAGGAGGAGGAGGAGGACTGTGGGGTCCTTGGTGTTTTCTGAGCCGGGTTGCTTTCCTGCAGACATTTCATTACCCATCTAGGGAACATCATCAGTTTGCAGAGAGGAGGAAGAGGAGGAGGAGAATTGAGGGGTCTGATTTCCTGCAGACATTTCATTACCTGACAGCAATGCAAGCGATCAACACCCAAATAAGCAGAGATTAACGGGAAGATTAACACGACTAGACCAACAACCAAGCTGTAAACAGAATCCCAATCAAGGAACTTAAACAAATGACAGGCTAACTGAGGAACCACCAAGAAAACTCCCACCGACACTGACAGGACAAAGCACTGGTAGATAAAAAGAGAGCAAACCCCATTCCTTTCTAGCACGGATGATGTTACCGAGTTGGGTCATGAAACGCCTGCAAGGAAACCTCCAAGCTCAAGAGAGCGCCACGCTGCCAGACCGACCTTAGGATGAGGCCACAGCTCCGAACACAGACAGGGCTGTTGGGCGAAAGCTCCATTTCCCCCCTGCCCGTTCACACATGAAGGGCTTGGAGGAAGAGGGAACAGCGAACGGCCCCAGGAAAAGGTTCCCACGGGAAAGGGGTACAGCCAGCCTGTCCCCCTGCCCTTCGGGAGAAGACTAGAGACCCTATTTATTTGTACTCCTCCTTAGGGTTAGTGGCCCCAAGTGACCCCAGAAATCTCTCTCTGTATTCGCTCCCCCTCAGGTGACTCTTGGCAGCGTTCTAAGCTTCTGCTGGGAGTGACGGAGAGTCTTTTGAAACGAGATGGGCGGCAAATAAATGTAAATCTCTCTATATAAAAATGGCTGTGTGTGTGTCTGTGTGTGTATGTATGTTCCAGCATAACTCTGGAACGCCTCGAGCAATTTCAACCAAACTTGGTACACAGATGACTTACTCCCTGGAAACAAATACTGTGGAGGTAAGACACCCCTAACGCCACTCAGAGGTGTGTGTTCTGTAAAGATACAGCCTGTTGTGCCGTAAAATGGCTTCTACTGTACAGCACAGTGGAGTTGCCATGGTAACGGCGTCACAGTACTCCACATGGGGGGTTCCCTCTGGCAAGGGGGAAAATCCAAGATTAGAAATTACATTTGGTCCTGACATTGTCGACAAGGTTTCGATTACTCTTGAGGACAAGTAAATACTCGGGCCACGCTGGGTTATCAGCTAGTAAAAAATAAATAAACCTACTTGTGCCCGGTAGAGAGGACTTACTTTGTATCCCATCGGTAAAAATACCCCGTCTACTGAGATCCAGAAGAAGAGTCTTTCCCGCGGCAGCGCCCGCCCTTTGGAACATACTGCCCCCCCCACAAGGGTAACCAACCTCCCCACCTTCCACAAGACCCTGAAGACCCTGGCTTGAGGTCCAAATAGGGCACTTCCACACTGGAGGTGGCTGGCTGCTAGATCGATGGCAGACTCCCCCTTTCTTTCCCCCCCCTCCACCTGTCCCTCTTTTCAGTCCTTATCTTGATTTATTTATTCTTGCCATGTTCCTTTGTCACTGTTTATTTTATAGTTCTATCGTCTGACTTCTGTTTACGCATCTTTTCATTCTGATTCCTTTTTATTCCTGTAAGCCGCCCAGAGCAGCCCCGCAGCGAGACAGGCAGGCAAATAAAATAAAGGATAAATAAACCTCAGGGGTTTTTTTCATATGGAGGAAAGCGAGAAGAATCCGCTTAGCCTTTCAGCGGTTGGTGGGGCTCCGTAGAATTAAGGAAGAGGTTCTGCTTGTCCTAGGATGGTACTTTCCATCATGTAGAAGTGGTCCTCAACGTTTCCCCTGGCGTAGCTTTCCAGATCAAAGCCAACTTGGGACGCGGGACACAATTTCCAGAGGAAATTGACTTGTGAATTTCAAAGCAGCCTGGCCTCGCCACCCAAGTTCCCACGTTCAATTATCCCATTGGAATAGCTGCCTGAGGAGCCAAAGCATTCTGCGTTGTTTTCTTAATCTTGTTGTGGCTATCAAATCAAAGGAGGAGGAGGAGGAGGCGTGGGAATCGGAGTCAGCATCAGGGCAACCTGGGAGCTCCGAGGGGGAAGAGGGAATGGAGCTGGCAGAGAGACAGACAGACAGTGGCGGAGCCTGGGCCGTCTGTCAGCCGTCAGATGGAGGGTCAACAGCCTCCAGGTCTGGAGGTGGTTGATGAGGAGGAGGAGGAACAGCTGGGTCCTGTGCCTGATATGCGGATGTGCAGAAGGCAGAGGAGAGGAGAGCAGTGGAAATCTATGGGCCGGTCCTTGGGATGGAAGAGCCACCGCTGCTAGTGAAGCCCCACCTTAGATCTGGGGATAAAAGGCAGGGGGTGGAGATGAATAGATGGGACAGACAACTATTCACCTCCCTCCCAGACTTGTTAGCCTGCGGTGAGAGAGAAACTTTTTGCCGGGGCTGCTGGCGCTCCTCATAAAGGAATCATTGAGTTCACTTCAGAGGGTTTGTCGTGTTTGGGGAGCTGGGTCAGAAGAAATCTGCTTTGTCATTGTACCCCCTCCGCCGGCTGCAGTGGTGCTCCCCTCCCAAAAAAGCCTCAATACCGATGACTAGATTGCTTCACCGACCGAGCGTAGATCAAAGGATACTATCTTCTCTGCTTTTCTCCTGCGTGCTCTCCATGCCAGGCAAAGCAGCAGCCACACGTCGGAAAAGCTGAGGGAGAAAATTAAGAAAGTTAGAGGGGGAAAAAAAAAAAGCAAGATGGATCGATTGAAGGGGACAAGGTGCATTGACGCCTTTGTATCAGCGTCCAATAAAAAAGCATTCGTTTTAATGGAAGGTATAAATTGTATTTTATTCCAACTTCATTTTAAATGGTATTTTATTCCAATCTCATTTTAAATTGTTTTTTAACGGATTTTAGCAATAATTTGTGTTTGAAACTCTGCACTTTGATATGGCTAATGGGCTAATCAATAAACTGTGTACTGTATGTATGTATGTATGTATGTATGTATGTATGTATGTATGTGACAGGTAGTCCCTAAATTACAACCATTTGTTTAGTGACTGTTTCAAGTTACAACGGCACGGAAAAAAGGGGGCTTTACAACCAGTCCTTGAACTTATGACCATGTCAGCACCTCACGATCGTGTCATCAAAATTCAGTTGCTAGACAACCGTCATATATTTACACAATGGTTCAGCATCCCAGGGTTGTAGGTTCCTCCTTTGTGATCTTCCCAGCCGGCTTCTGACAAGCAAAGTCAATGGGGGAAGCAGGGTTTAGTTAATGACATGATTCAGTTAACAGCTGCGGTGATTCGCTTAACAACGGCTGCAAAAGAGATCGTCCAATGTGGTGCAACTAACTTAACGCCCGCCTTGTTTTAGCAACAGAAATTCTGATCCAAATTGTGGTTGCAATTCAAGGACTACCTGCCTTGTGGAAAAATATACAACATGAGGTTATGAAAAGTTAAGACGTCGGGAGTAGATGGGCGCAGGAAACACCAGCTCTTGTTTGTGTAACAACATTTTTTTTTCTCGTTATTCTAGTAATAAAACGATGCATTTATTTCGACACCGACAGCCAGATGGGATCCTAACATCCCCCTTCTCCAGCCTCACAGCAGACATGTTCATGCAACAATCCTTTAACGTTTAATGTTCTGCAATGGTTGGTTGAATTTGGTTATCTGCTGTTTGGGTTTTGCACGGTTGCTCCAAATAAATTTCGGATGGCTCCCATTCTCTGGCTTCTTCCTTCTATCAGGAAACAGTTAAGCCTATTATCGCCTTTCATTCCAACGTTAATCAGAACTGATTCAACTCCATGAGCCTCAGCAGCACTTTTAACGCTGCTTGCTAGAATGCGCTGTTGTCCTATTTGGATCCAGGCTCTGTGCTAAAGGGACTCGCTTCGGATCTAACGGCTCAAGAAGCAACAGGCCCAGTCAGAAAGCCTCAGAATAGAGGTAGTCCTCGATCTACGACCACAATTGAGGCCAAAATATTGGGTTCCTCAGTGACTAAGACGCTGAGATTGTCGATCGAAAGTTCAGCAGTTCGAATCCCTAGTGCCGTGAAATGGGGTGAGCTCCCGTGTCTTGTCCCAGCTTCTGCCAACCTAGCAGTTCAAAAGGAGGTAAAAAATGCAAGTAGAAAAAGAGGGACCACCTTTGGTGGGAAGGGAACAGCGTCCCGTGCGCCTTTGGCGTTGAGTCATGCCGGCCACATGACCACGGAGACGTCTTCGGACAGCGCTGGCTCTCTGGCTTTGAAACGGAGATGAGCACCATCCCCTGGAGTCGGGAACGACTAGCACGTATGCACCAGGGGAATCTTTACCTTTACCTTAAGCAAGACAGTTGTCAAATGTTTGTTGTCAAGCCCCATTTTACGACCTTTCTTACCATCATAGTTAAGTGTCCATGAAGATTCTCGGTCATCCAAGTTCCGGTTGTCCCAAAAGTGCTTTATTTTCAAGAGGTAACTGGACTGTCTGGTTTTTTTCTTTGAAGACATTTCGCTTCTCATCCAAGAAGCTTCTTCAGCTCTGAGTATAACTCTTGGAGTACGTGTTCTACTCTCTCTTTCAAAACCGCCACTGTGAAATTAATCTGTCTTATTCTTTCGTTGAGGAGTTGGAGCTGTGCTTTCTGCAGGATGTTTTTCTCTGCCTTGCGTCCCTTCACTTTCGAACCCGGGCGCAGGCTTTTGGGGATGAGTCTGTCCTGTCTGCATCTCAAACTGAAGCGCAAATGGTTCCTGTAGTCTGCAATTTTTCTGGAAATCCGTTCATTCACCCGCACCGTTCGAAGGGGGTTCATCCCAAAGTGAGCAGCTCAGAACTGAAGAAGCTTCTTGGGTGAGAAGCAAAACATCTTCAAAGAAAATCCAGAAAATCCAGTTGCCTCTTGAGAAAAAGGATCTTTGGGATAATCCTACCATGTTTTCCCGAAAATAAGACCCTGTCTTCTATTTTTCTGAACCCTGAAATAAGCGCTTGGCCTTATTGCCATGCGCTCAAAAGCCCAACTGGGTTTATTAACAGGGGAATGTCTTATTTTGGGGGAAACAGGGTAGTTAAGGGACTCACTGCAGTTGCTAAGCTAATAAAACGGTCGTTAAGCGAATCTGGCTTCCCCGTTGACTTGGCTTGTCAGAAAATCGCCAAATGGGATCACGTGACTCTGGGCTACTGCGACCGTCATAAATGTGTGCCAGTTGCCAAGCGACCAAATTTTGGTCATGTGACCATGGAGATGCTACAACCCCCTGCTCAAGGCAGGAGACTTTATGCCCCTCCGTCAAACGGTTGTCCAGTCCAGTTCGAAAACCTCCATTAATGGACCACCCTGAGCTCCATTAGACAAGCTGCCCCATTGATGAATTCTTCTCGCTGTCTGAAAATTTCTCCTTGCTTTTAGGTTGGAGCTCTCAGATTTTCACCCATTGCTTCTTGTCCTTCCCTTTTGGTGGTTTGGGGAACAAGTCAAGCCCCTTTGATTCTGATCAAACAATCTTGTAGTAAAGATTTGCCTGGTTTTTAATGGGTCCTGAAAGCCTGGAATGACTCTTTTCTTTGATTTTGTAAGGCAGGGGTCTCCAAACGTGGCCCCTTTAAGACTTGTGGACTTCAACTCCCAGAATTCCTCAGCCAGAAGAATTCTGGGAGTTTTGTTTTTTTTGTTTTTTTAAATTTGATTTATATGCCGCCCTTCTCCGGAGACTCAGGGTGGCTTACAGTGCGTTAAGCAATAGCCTTCATCCTTTTTTGTATATTTATACAAAGTCAGCTTATTGCTCCCACAACTGGGTCCTCAATTTACCTATCTTAGAAAGGATGGAAGGCTGAGTCAACCTTGAGCCTTGGAGAGATTCGAACCTGCAGTAATTGCAGGAAGCTAGTCTTAATAACAGGGTGCTTTAGACCACTGTGCTACCAAGACTTGTTGAAGTCCACAAGTCTTAAAGGGGCCACGTTTGGAGACCCCTGCTGTGAGACATAACAATCTGCAGCTCCTTATTACTCACTTGTTTTACGTTGTATCCGGCCTTTGCGCTAGTTTCGATGAACATCACATTCAGCTCTTTGGCTTTCCTTTCCCCTTCCTCAATAGATACTTGTCTGGAAAAAAGAAAGGACAAGAATCATAGTAAGAGAACTGCAGTCTTGGCTTCCTCTAAGACAGGGGTCAGCAACCTGCGGCTCTGGAGCCGCATGTGGCTCTTTCACCCCTTTGCTGCAGCTCCCTGTCACTCAAAATATGCGTCAGAGCCACCAATGTGCGACACCCGCCGGCACGTGATTTATTGAGCTTTTCAACCCCCCGGTAGGCCAGCCATGGAGAAATCCAAGAAAAGAAGAGTTTCAGAAGAAAACAGAAGGTTTAATTCAACTACATTTGCTAGTTTTGTGGACGCTCAGGAAATAGTCAGGCACGGGAAGGGTTTTGTGGCTCCCGGTGTTTTCTTTTCTGTGGGAAACGGGTCCAAATGGCTCTTTTGAGTGTTTAAGGTTGCAGACCCCTGCTCTAAGAGTTGCTTTCCTTTTACGTACCAACAAGAAAAACACCCTTTCAGAACGGTTACATCTTAGATGCTTCAAGGAAGAAAACTCCATTCGTTAGAAGGGTTGGTGATTACGGCTCTTACCCTTTTATCTACATGGCAATTTACAAAGCGAAGTCCAAGGGCTCATTTGCAGGGAGGGGGGGAGGAGGAGGAGAGAATCTCATAAAACGCAATTTAAATTGTGAGGAATTAAAATTAGTCAGTTAACAGGAAAGATTTAATACACACACCCCAAGACTCAAAAGGATGCACAGGTTAAAAAAAAAAAACAACTGAGCCGCCTGTAAATAAAATAAACAAAGCCCTACTTATTGTCTCATCTACATATTCTCCGAGTCGTACATTTTTTTTTTCATGGACACAGGAGAGGGCAGAGCGAAGCAGAGAGGAGGTGATGTGGGGCCATAAAATGGGAGAAAAGATTGGAGAATCTCTCCACTAAACCACACGTGGACACTGCATAGCAAGGCCGTGCAAAGAAAATCAGCAGTCCTCAAACTTATGACCAGTCGCTTAGTGACTGCTTGAAGTTACGCTGAACTTCCCCAGGGGTACTTACGACCTGGTTCTAAAGTTCTGAAGGCTGTACCCCCCCACACACTTGTGGTCACATAACTGCATCTGGGGCACCTGGCCTGCTCTCTGTCTGTCTGTCTATCCACAATTTTTCATCTCTTTCATCTCTTCTATCTTTGTCTATTTTTATTCATAATTATCCATCTCTCTCTCTCTCTCTCAACTATCATCTCTATCTCCCTCTTCTGTCTATATTTATCCATGACCATCTTTCTCTATCCATCCATCCATCCATCTCTCCCTCTTCTGTCTGTGTTGTGACCCCGGCCCCGGAGGCTGATTTATCTTCGCATGCTGAGTCGGAGGATGATAAGGAGGACGAGGAAGCTGTCACGAGCTATGTGCCGGAGGGGCCATCTTCACTGGTGAATCAGCAAGAACTGACAGTTGCTGACGTGCCTCTGGACCCCAGCCAAATTGAGGAGGAAACAGACCGGTAACGAGGAGAGGGAGCCCCTATTGGATGCAAGAGAGAGACGTCGTAGAGAACAGCTATTGCCACGTCCCAAGAGGTGTGGTCAGGAGACGTAGGGCCACACCCTACAAAGTATAAAAGGGGTGTGACTGGGCTGGAAAGGCATGGTGAACAATTTGTTGGCGTTTTGGATGCAGTGGATTTACAACTGTTAGTTTGGAGGTTTTTTTGACAAGAGTCTGCATTCCTGCATTAGCTTGCTGGCCGTCTGCCAAGATGGCCAGCAAGACGTGCGGGTGGTTATGGGAACAACATGGCGCTCCCATGTGACACCTCTCCTGCGTGAGCTGCACTGGCTCCCGGGGGTCTTCCGGGTGCGCTTCAAGGTTTTGGTTACCACCTTTAGAGCGCTCCATGGCTTAGGACCTGGTTATTTACGGGACCGCCTACTACCACAAACAGCCTCCCACCGGCCGGTATGCTCTCAGAGAGAGGGGCTCCTCCAGGTGCCGTCAGCCAAACAATGTCGGCTGGCGGCCCACAGGGGGAGGGCCTTCTCTGTGGGGGCACCTACTATCTGGAACGAGCTCCCCCCAGAGATACGGAGGATCCCGGATCTGCGCACTTTCCGCCGTGCTTTGAAGACACTCCTATTCCAGCAGGCCGGCCTGGCCTAATTTTTTTCCCCTGTTTTAAAATTCTTTTAAATCGAAATTTTAATCTATTTTAAATTATTGGGATTTTTAATTGTCTCGGGCTAAATTATTTAATCTGGTTTTAATTATGTTTCTAACTTTTGTATCTATGTATTTTATTTTGTGCCTGTTCACCACCCCGAGTCCTTCGGGAGTAGGGCGGTATATAAATTTAATAAAAAATAATAATAAAAAAAACATTGCCTGGTAACTATTGGACTGATATACGCTTTGGAAGAGAACTATTTATTAAAGGGCCAGCTTTAGTCTCTCTAGCCTGCATTTGTTACTGCCGGGCTATTTGAGCCTCTGCAAGGCCACTCGTGGGAGGGGACAGAACATGTCTATATCTGACATAATTTTCCATCTCTTTCTCCTTCTTCTGTCTCCATCCATCCATCCAATTTATTGGTCCCCATATCTCACAGTACAAGGTGACTCTGAGCGGCTGCTTTACGTCTGTCCGCGGTATGAGTTCAAGTCCATGAAAGCCAACTGGGTGACTTTGGGCCGGTCCCTGACTCTCAGCCCCAACCTACCTCACAGGGTTGTTGTAGAGTAGGGGTGATCAAACTCACATCGTCGTCACATGACGTATCGGGACTTATTCCCCCCCTTCGCTAAACCGGGATGGGCATGGCCAGCATGTGACGCATCCCACCCACTGGCCGTGAGTTTGACACCTTCTTGTAGAGGAAGGTGTGTGGATATGTTCGCCACCTTGAGTTTTATTTGTAAAAAAAAACAAAGGTGAGAAAATCGATCAGCAAGGAAGTAAATCGATCAGCTTCAGGGGGAGCAAGAAAAGTGTGGAGGATCAGAAAACGGCTTCTGAACGAGAGGGACCTTCAGCTACTCAACTCGAGAGACCCAGTTCGGTTCTCACGTATACACGTATTCTTTTTCAAAACCTGGATTTTGGGTTCTATTACAGATTATGCTTTTTCGATAAAATATATATTCAGCCTAGCCATAGAAGCGGGAGGCCTGTCTCCTTACCTCTTATCTGCTAGATCTGTTTTGTTTCCTACAAGCATGATGATCACATCACTACCCCTTTCCGTTCTGACATCATCGATCCATTTTGTGGTTTGCTGGAATGAGTTTACATCTGGGAAGGAAAAATGCACAGAATAAAACCCACAGCAGATCGCTGACGAAAGACATTACAGGTAGTCCTCGACTTAACAAGTTCGTTTAGTGACCGTTCAGAAGTTACGACGGCACTGAAAAAGGGGACTTGGGACCGGTTTCCACACTGATGACTAATGCAGAATCTCCCATGGTCGCATGAACGAAATTCAGACGCTTGGCAACTGACTCGTATTTATGACGGTTGCAGTGTCCCAAGGTCAGGTGATCACCGCTTTGCGACCTTCTGACAAGCAAAGTCAAGGGGGAAGCCAGATTCACTTAACAACCGGGTTACTAACTTAACAACTGCAGTGATTCACTTAACTGTGGCAACAAAGGTCGTAAAATTCACTTAACCAATGTCTCACTTAACAACAGAAACTTGGGGCTCAATTGTCATTTAGCAACAGAAGTTGTCATCAAACAATTGTCATTCATTTGGCAACAGAAATTTTAGAAATTGTGGTCATAAGTCAAGGACTACCTGTATCTAGAAAGCATCAGTGGTCATTTGAGATTCATGAAGATTTTGGCTGATCAAAGACTGTGGGGACAGATACAGCCCACTCAGCTGCTAGAGGCCATGAACCAGTGAAATGTGTTGTATTTCTACCTCCTAATTAACAACAGGAACCAGGCTGCTACAAAGAAAAATGCTGGTTTCTAGTTTTCATTTACAAGAACATCCCTGGACACTAGATATTAATTCTATTATTCTGATTTTCTATGGAAAAATATCAACAATGGATTGGATGGATGGCTAATGTGCCATCAAATCATGGTTGACTCTTAGCAACCGTGTAGATCAGGGGTCTCCAACCTTGGCAACTTTAAGACTCCCAGAGTTGAAGTCCACAAGTCTTAAAAGTTACCAAGGAGTAGATAAAATTTCTCTGTGAAGATTTGCCCCTAATCTGCTCTTTCGGGCCTTCTGATGATGTTTCCATCACCCTTGCAACCGAGTCCATCCTTCTGACTACCGTTTATCCTCTTCTTCTCTTTCCTTCCATGCTTCCCACCCTCCTCCAGAGAGCCAAGTCTCTGCCTGTATCCAAAGTAAGATTTTTGATCCTGGACATTTGTGCCTTGCGCGTGAAATCTGGATTGATTTGTCTCTTGACCCGTTGGTTGGTTTTCTTGGCTGCTAATGGACTTCTCAGAAGTCTTCTCCAACATCGAAGTCCAAAAGCATCAGTCCTCTTCTTCTCTTGCTTCTCAAAGTCCAACTTTGGCCTCCACAGAGGTTCAAAGAGAACATCTCGGTCTGAGCTCTTCTGAACTTTGTAGGCATAGACACATCCTGGCATCTGAACATCTTCTCCATGGCTGCACTCTCAAATGTTAGTTTGCAGGGCATTTTTCTTGACTGCTTATTCCTTTAGCATTAACCGTTGGTACTAAAGGCAGAAGCTGCCCAACACTTTTGGTATCTTCATTGTCAATTCTAAGGACAGAATTGTCCTTCGAAGGCTACAACTGTCAATTTTAAGGCTAGAATATCATCTTTCTACCTATTTCTTGGATTTATCTGGCCAGCCACTCGCTCTCAAGTGACTCTGGGTGGCTTACAAACATTAGCTCGATTTTCTTTTTATTTCATTTTTATTTCACTTTAGTCCTATTTTTTCCCCACCATGCCGCTTGACATTTTTTATTACTCGAGCTTGCAGATCCTTTGCATTATCGGCTATTAGGGTAGCGTCATCAGCATAATAACCTCCACAACATGGTTTCAATGTTCCAAATGTGCTCATCAATCTAAAAATATCTGCAAAATTCCCCAAAGGTATATTGCAAGCAACCTGTCAGGGCAGGAAAGGCGTTAGATTTGTTGAGTAAGAAGTGAACGAGCCTCAGGTCTCAATAGACGTTAATAGTGGCACAGAAGCAACGTGTTTTTTCTTGGCATCATAACCAGGTTATTAATGCCACTACCTGTCTCATTAATGCTTCCATATTGCAATCCTAAAGGTGCTTTTTCAGGAGGCAAATGGACTTTCTGGTTTTTCCTTTTGAAGACGTTTCGCTTCTCATCCTAGAAGCTTCTTCAGCTCTGAAGGTGAATGGATGGTGGGGAAGGGAAGGTTTATACTCCTTGCAGACAGCTGGTCATTTGCATCCTTTTAGAGGGTCCTTGAGGCCACCTGGAGTGTCACCTGAATGATGCTAATGGTTTCTGTAGTCTGCAGTTTTTCTGCAATTTACGAGGCAACTGGATTTATGAGGTAACTACATGGCATCGGACCTGGGTATTTGCGAGACCACCTTCTGCCGCCGATAGCCTCCCACCGACCAGTTCGCTCCCACAGAGACGGACTCCTCAGGGTGCCATCAGCCAGGCAATGTCGGCTGGCAACTCCCAGGGGGAGAGCCTTCTCTGTGGCAGCTCCTGCCCTCTGGAACGATTTGCCCCCGGAGATACGAAGGATATCGGATCTCCGGGTTTTTCGCCGTGCCCTAAAAACTTTTCTTTTCCATCAAGCAGGGCTGGCGTGAAACCCCACCCCCTTTTTTAGTCTTTTTTAGCTTTTTAAATTGTCAAATGGATTTTAGTTTTAATGTTTTAAATTTTGGGCCACAGTTATATAATTCTTTTAAAATTTTAAATTTTGTATTGGTATGTGTTTTAGTTCTGGCTGTGCACCACCCTGAGTCCACTAGGAGGAGGGCGGGATAAAAATTGAATAAAATAAATAAATTTTCTTGTTTTTTCTTTTCTTCTTTCAGACTTTTAGCTATATAATTTGAACACCCTTGAATGGTGTGGGAGGAGGAATGGATTTCCAGAGGAAAAAAATTGCAGACTACAGAAACCAGGAGCACCACTCAGGTGACCCTGAGGACACAGGTAAACATCCAGGTGACCTTAACAACCCTCTCAAAGGATGCAAATGACCAGCTGTCTGCAAGGAGTATCAACCCTTCCATTCCCCACTATCCTATCAGAGCTGAGGAAGCTTCTTGGAGGAGAAGCGAAACGTCTTCAAAAGAACCAAGAAAGTCCAGTTGCCTCCTGAAAAAGCACCTTTGGGACAACCCTGACCTGGAGGGCTGAGAATCTCTACCGATTTCCATATTGTAGCTTTAGGTCAGGGGGAAAAAAACATTTCACAGGAACCAACTTTTCAAAACAGCAAATTATACTCTCAGAAATGAAATGGTTTCATCTGGCAGTCAATTTTTTTCATGCTTGGGTGCACTGGAGCATTAAAACCCAAACATGTTCCATTCAGGCTACGTCTGTATTTTATAAAAAGATCTCAATTTTTTTCATGTTTCAATACCAATTCCTCTTCATTCAGTTGTCTATTTCAAAGGCAGATTTGAAACTGAGAGAAAACAGGAGTTGCTTAATGTGCTTGCGATAAAAAAAAGGTTTCAAAAACGCTTAGTAGTATTTTGTGAGTGTCTGTGTTTTACAGACGGAAAGGGAAATATCTAAATGCAGTTCTTTGAAAAGTACATACCTTTATAGGAAATTAATCAGTGAAACTAATTAGAAGGAAGGGAGGAAAAAAAAGAAGGTTTTTGTGTGCATGAGAACAGGATGTTATAATCCCTGGAGCTTTTAGGAGCAGTGCAAAAAACAACAATAAAGGATTTCAATAGAGAAACTCGAGAAACTTAAAAGGCAACACAGGACAATAATACCCACAGAACAGCAGATGAATTGAGACCGTGGTGAGACTGATTTGCTTTCAGGGGATTCTGAGCACATATACAGGGAGGGAAGGAATGCACAAGAGAGAACAGTGAGAAGCAGAATCAACAAAACTGAGAGGGTTTGCCTCTAGAGGAAGCAAAAACTCCCCAGTTTGCTCAGGAGATGATAGAACGTTTAAATTTAAAGAACTGGAGAAGCCAGGGATCATCTTTGAAAAAGCCTAGCTTTCAAGCCGGAGTCCGCTTTCGAATCCTCACCTAAATGCAAATTACTTTGGTCTAATCCACGGGGAGGAGAATGCTTCCTGCACGGATTCAGAGTCAATCTTGTGGCTTTGTAGTTTATGGGTGCAGGACGTGGCCAACTTTAGGGTTGAGCCCCGGTGGAGAATCCTGTGAAACAGGTTCCTGTCCATTTGAAACATGGTAGAAAAGTCTCCTGCTTGAAGCTCCAGACAAAAAAACCATTTTCATGCCACAGTGAGGGGACAAGCACAACTGTGATAGAACATGCACAGCTTCGCTTGAGGGAAAGGGAGAGAAGGAGAGGGGAAAAGAAAGGAAAAGGGGGAAGGGGAACATAAAAGGAAAGGAAACAGAAAGGGAAGAAGGAAAGGAAAGGAAAGGAAAGGGAAGGGAGAAGGAGAAGGAGAAGGAGGAGAAGGAGAAGGGAAAGGAACGGAACAGAACGGAGAGGAGGAGGAGGAGGAGGAGGAGGAGGAGGAGGAGGAGGAGGAAAGGAAAGGAAAGGAAAGGAAAGGAAAGGAAAGGAAAGGAAAGGAAAGGAAAGGAAAGGACAGGACAGGACAGGACAGGAAAGGAAAGGAAAGGAAAAAGGAAAGGAAAGGAAAGGAAAGGAAAGGAAAACGGTAAGGGGAAAGAAAGGAGATGGAAACGGAAGGGAGGGAAGGGGGTGGGAGGGAGGAAAGAAGGAAGGAAAAGGAAGGGAGGGAGGGGAAGGGAGAGCATGCGCCAAGAATACTGGAAATGCCCCCCCCACTCACTTGTGATATCATACACAACAACTGCAACAGTGGAGTCACGAATGTAGCTAGGAATCAAGCTCCTGAACCGCTCTTGGCCTGCCGTGTCCCACAATTGCAACCGTACCTAACGGAAATCAGTCAAAACAAGCAAGAAAAAAAAAACACGTCAAAGGCCAGAGCTAAATATACCTACTTGTAATATCGTATACTACTACAGCGGCGGCAGAGTCGCGGATGTAACTGGGAATGAGGCTACGGAAACGTTCCTGGCCCGCAGTATCCCAGAGCTGCAACCTGATCTGTGGGATGGGAGAAAATTAAGGAGGAAAAAAAAAAAAAAAAAGCCCAATCAACACGAAAAAAATCTCACACTGCTTTTTTTAAAAAAAAATTAAAAAGCAAAGGGTTTTTTTTTTAATATTAAAAAAAAATCATGCACGGAAGGCGTTAACGTTGAGTTTGCAAGCAGAAGAAGGCTGCGAGAATTTCTCAGGGGGCTCCAGGTGAGTCCGGGGGGGGGGGGGGGGGGAAACCCCAGGTAACTTTGCAGATCACGCAGAGAGTGTCAGGCATCTCTTGGGGCAGCATGCCAGCAAAGGAGAATTTGCCTGCAGAGGGAGAACCTCGAGCAGGGATGTGCAGCCTTGGCAACTTTTAAGACTTATGGACTTCGACTCCCAGAATTCTCCAGCAGAGTAACAGAGGGACCTTGGAGGCCTTCTAGTCCAACCCCCTGCTCAAGCAGGAGATCCTATACCAGTCTGGACAAATGGCATGTCCGGGCTCTTCTGGAAAAACCACCTGGTGGAGGAATTCTGGGAGTTGAAGTCCACAAGCCTTAACAGTCGCTAAGGTTGCACATCCCTGCTCTTGAGGTTTGGCAGGAAGCCTGGGGTAGCTAAGAGAGGCTGTTGGAAATCAGTGGGTGTTATGAATAAAGCCAATCAGCAGCCATAAACTGTATAGCTTTATCACGCATCCTATTTTAAAGCAAAATGAACATGAAACAGCATTGATGGTAATGGGAAATGTTTTCTAACAGTGTGATTTTAGAAGTAGAGTAGAGTAGAGTAGAGTAGAGTAGAGTAGAATAGAATAGAATAGAATAGAAATAGAAATAGAATAGAATAGAATAGAATAGAATAGAATAGAATAGAATAGAATAGAATAGAATAGAATAGAATTAGGAATAGAATAGAATAGAATAAAAAATGCAGAATAGGAGAAAAAATGCAGAATAGATAGAATAGAATAGAATAGAATAGAATAGAATAGAATAGAATAGAATAGAATAGAATAGAATAGAATAGAATAGAATAGAATTCTTTATTGGCCAGGTATTATTTATTTATTTTATTTATTTTATTGAATTTGTATACCGCCCTACTCCCGAAGGTGTGATTGGACACGCAAGGAATTTGTCTTTGGTGCATAGGCTCTCAGTGAACATACAACAATAGTGGTAGATCATTAAGAAAAATGTGCAATTAGATATTTGTTTCGTTTGGATGGCTTTGGGCTGGAGGATTCTATTCAAAATGCTAGGCTGGACTAGGACGGTAAGAAAAAAATTGATAGATTGATTGGTATTCCAACCGGAGATAGTCAGAAGGAACACCAGTCCCTTGCAGCTAGATAGGGTCTGAATCTCCACATTGCCCACAAACCATCATGGTTGGCATGTGGAACTCCACTATGAGGGAGGGGGGGGGGGGAAAGAAAGAGTACAGGTAGTCCTTGACTTACAATACTTTGTTTATTAGTGACTGTCTGAACCGACAACGGCACTGAAAATAGTGATTTATGACCATTTTATTATTTATTTTTTATTAATCATATTTCTATGCCGCCCACTCTCCGAGGACTCTGGGCAGCTTACACCAAAGACAGTATACTAAATAGCATATTGCCCCCCAACAATCTGGGTCCTCATTTTACCCTCCTCGGAAGGATGGAAGGCTGAGTCAACCTTGAGCCGGTGAGATTTGATCCGCTGATCTGCTGAACTAGCAGTCAGGTGAAGTAGCTGCAGTACTGCACTCTAACCACGGCGCCACCTCGGCTCATTTTTCACACTTAGGACCATTGCAGCATCCCCCATGGTCACATGAGCAAAATTTGGATGCTTGGCAACTGGTTCATATTTATGACGGTGGCGGTGATGCTCTTTTGCAACCTTCTGACAAGCAAAGTCAAGGGGGAAGCCAGATTCACTTAACAACGGTGGCAAGACAGGTCACATGGGGCAAAACTCACTTAAGAAACGTCTCACTCAGCAACGGAAATTTTGGTGGTAAGTCAGGGACTGCCTGTAATGCAGAAAGTATCGCAATCTATCAGTGATGGTATGGGGTAATGGGAGGGGTGATGGGGTCATAGAGATGCTGCATAGAGAACGTTGGATAACAGGCAGCCTAGCCTGCAGCTGCATAACAGGCGGAGTAAAAGAGAATCAACCCTAACGAAACAGACAGTTAAAAAAAGGGACAGCGGGAGTTTTGTACTTTCAGACTTGCAAAATTCTCTTAGTGTAGCCTTACAATAAAGTGGAATTAGCTCATAGGAGTAGATGAGGTTACAGACAGGAGTAGATTTCCTGTCTGGTTTACTTGCAAGGGCTGACGGTAGCTTCCAGCACTTCAGCATAATCGTAAGGTTAAAGCATGGAACTATACTATCTATTTTTTAATATAGGAAAGAAAGGCTTGGCTTTTTAAAAAAAATAAACAATTGGACAAAAAGTGTCTTTTTGTCACTGGGAAATTTGAGGCGATTTCTCACTAAGCAGAACATTTGATTGTCACTGTACACAGGATTATCCGTTTATTTCATTTGCTTCTACAGTGGTACCTTGCTACTCTTTGAAACTCATCGCACGTGGTACTTGAGGTGAAAAATTTGTCCTAGTACTCCTCATTTGTTTGGTATTCAATGCACAAGCTACAACTTGTGGGTGTTGGCTGCCTTGTGACTCGCTACATTATTCCTCGCGGGAAAATTTTGTTTGATGCTCATAGTTTTTGGTATTCATCGTGCCTACCAGTAGCGAGGTACCACTGTATAGGGATGGCCTCAAAAAGTGCACTGTATTATTTACCGGCCACTTCAAATCAACCTCTTTTTCATATAAAGATAATGCAGGAGCAAAACATTCCATCCAATTTATACATGTGAGATTTAGGTTTCTACCTTCATATGTAGTTTGAAATATTCGAGATGCTTAAGAGCGCCAGATTAGTTATTCTCAGGCCAACCCAGGCAACCTGCAGAGTTTTTGCTGTCCGAGGCACAGCAGTTCTCTGCTATGATAAGAAGATAAGCAAAGCTCTGCTGGTTCGGCCAAGGCCCGCCTTCATCCAGCATTCTGGCCAACCAGATGCCTCTGAGGTGCTCAGGTAAGGGAAGGGGCTGGCTTGTAAAACTGTTCCCCTTGATTGGCACTGGAGGTATGGCATCCTCAGTCGGAAATCAGAAGCTGCTCATATCCTTGCAAAATGCATTTAGACCAAGATTTCCCAACCTTGGCAATTGTAAGACGCGTGGACTTCAACTCCCAGAATTCCCCAGCCAGCCATGCTGGCTGGGGAATTCTGGGAGTTGAAGTCCACGCGTCTTAAAAGTTGGCAAGGCTGGGAAACCCTGATTTAGACAATACAATGCACCATCCATGTTAAAACAGGCTAGTTAGTTACTGCAAAACTCTTACTCACTGTGCGGTCTTCCAGGTACATTGTTTTTGATAAGAAGTCAATGCCGATTGTTGCCTGCAAAGTACAATTCAACAGTGAGTACATAAATGCACGCACACACATTCCTTTTGCTAAAACATGCGCTATCCACTCAATTGCTGGTCAAGAATAATGAAAATACTTTGAAATATTAGCTACCATGCTGGATCCATTCAATCAAGCAAATTTGGTTTTTTTTTAAAATTTTAGATGAACAATTTGCAATTAATCCAGACTCTGATCTGAGGCAAAGATCAGACTTCTACTTCCATTACAGGCAGTCCTCAAATTACAACAGTTCATTTAGTGACTGCTCGAAGTTACAATGGTGCTGACCAGTTTTCACACTTATGACCTTTTGTGACCTTCTGTCAATGGGGAAGTCAGATTCACTTAACAGCCATTTTATGAACTTAACAACTGCAGTGGTTCATTTAACACCTGTGGCAAGAAATGTGGTAAAATGGGGCAAGACTCACTTAACAACTGTCTTGTTTAACAACAGAAATTTTGGGCTCAATTGGGGTCGTTAAGTCAAGGACTACAGTATATAGAGGGAAGGGAAGAAGATTTTTAAAATGGGGGCCTTGAATCAGAGGCTTACAAAACAGAGGCTCTTTGATGCCAGAGGGGACATTTCTCTTGCTGAAAATTCTCTTTTTAATCTTTCTTTTCTTTTCTTTTATAAATCTTATTGATTTTCTATTTATTACATTTCTTAGTGCTTAATAAACATCGTGTTGTCTGGGGATTTAATTTGCTTAACAATACAGATTCCCTTTTTACTCTCCGCCCCTTTTTTCCAACCACTGGGTAAAATAAGTGCCATGTTTGATAGCATTTTGTGTCTTTCTTTCTGTTCGGTTTTCAATGTCAGTCTATCCATTTCTGCACAGCCTAATATCTTCTGAATTATCTCCTCGTCCTGCGGTGCTTCTTCATTTTTCCAATATGGTGCGAGGAGGATCCTCGCTCTTTTTAATCTTTCAGACGGCTCTTCTGTCCACAAGAAACTTCTGCCACCAATGAAGAAGGAACAGATTCTGCCCATTCTGTTCCTAAATGTTCTTCTTTCCCTTGTTGCTCCTCTCCCTCCTCCTTTGAGTAGCTCCATCCCTTGTGCTTGCTAAGTGAATCCAGAAGCCCCGATATTAGGAAGCAGCGAACGTTCCTTCCGTTGTGCAGTTTTATCTGGGCTCACCACTGGAAATCCACCTTGGGGCGTCTCCTCGGCAGAAAGGACACGAGACGGCCGGTTGTTTGCACAGCACACAAAGCCATGCGCTGTGCAGGCATGAGATAATGCTAAGGCGTGAACGGATTGATGGGAGGACTTGAAAGAAGCCTTGCAAAGAGCTATTCAGCAGGCCCTTTTCTTCTTCCACACGGCTGCCCTCGGGCTTCCTCAGGCCTCCCAGCGCAGGAAGCAGGGTTTTTAGTTTGGAAAAGGCAATGGGGCCGTTTCAAACCTTGCCCCCCACCCCTGTCTATTTCCAACAAGAGAAGTGTTGTGACTCTGACTCCCGAACCTGTCCTCATGGAGGAAGAGGACTCAAAAGGTGATGGGGAGGAACTGACAAGGCCTCCCTCTCCAGGACCCTCCTCTCTGGCAATTCCTCAGGTTCCATCCGAAGGCCAGGAGGAACAGCCTGGGATATGCCAGGAGGAAAGCATATCGGAACAACAACAGATAGGGAGCGAGGATGATGAATCCTGGCTTGATCCCAGGCAGCGTCGGAGGGAGAAGCGTGCGCAGCAACGGAAGAGGCGTGGGAGGGCCAGAGATTGAGCTGAGTCACGGAGCCACGCCCCAAAGGGGGCGTGATTGCTCGGCAGGCTTTGTGACGGACAAAAGTTTAAACTCTAAAGAGTCACATCGTGAATCCTGCACTTCGGCTCAGATATATTTTGGACTAAACTCTTGTGGATAATTTGTCGCTCTGGAAACGGACTGCAGATAAGGCCGCTCCTGCTTTTTGGGAGTACTAATTGGACTGGGCAGGCGTTTTACAGTTAGCTGCCAGAACTCTCGTCTGCCAGGAATTCTGGTCTGTTTATACAATAAATTATTGGCAGGCGTGTTTGATACTGCATTTGTCGGTGTGAGGTCGGGGGACAGAACAGGAAGGGGCAGGGAGACATCGCTGCAGTGGGCTTGCTATGTAGCCAATGGAGAAAGCAAGAGAGGAAGGAGCAGGGTGCTTAACAGAACTACAGGATAACAGAGTTCAAGGGACCTTGGAGATCTTCTAGTCCAACCCTCTGCTCAAACAGGAAACCCTGTACCATTTCAGACAATGCTTGTCCAATCTTTTCTTACAAACCTCCCACAATTTCTGGAGTTAAGTCATTCCACTGGTTAATTGTCCTCACTGCTTCGCTCCTTGATTAGTTTCCTTCCGTTGCTTCTTCTCCTGCCTTCAGGGGATCGCCGCCAAACAGCGATTGGTGGTAAAAAGCGGCAGCGGCAATCCCCGCCGCCTGGAACGGGCCGAAAACGAGCCGCGTGGAGGCCGAAAATGGGACACATGGAGGCAGCGATAGGCGGTGGCAGTGATGGGCAGCAATGGCGGCAATCCCTGCAGCCTGGAACAGCTGATGGGGGTTGGTACTCCGGGAGGCCGATCCAATCACCAATCAGCTGCTCGTGCTAAATCAGTCTGTGCTGAAACTGACCAGGCTGTTTGCTGTTTGCTGCAAGGAGGCAAATTGCTGGGAGCCAGAGGCAGATTTTTTTCCCCCTCCTCTAATGTGTGTCGTATAGTCCGGAGAGTCTTATAGTCCGAAAAATACGGTAGCTATTGTCAGGAACACTGGAGAATTTATCACATGCAACTGCTTCCTGTTGTCCTCCAGAGCAAGGTGATGGATTAGGGATGTGCAGATTTGTCAATCTAGGAATGGAACAAGCCAGCTACTCCAAAGCATTGTGTTTCTTTGGAGCAGGCCAACTTTTTTTCTGGATCATATATATTTCCAGACTCATTTCCAGAAAACTGTGCTAAGCCAGAATTAGTTGGAGATGAACAGGTTTGTTTTAGAGGCAGAGTCCCCAAAATGCTTCTAATTAATTCCAAAAGCTACTGACCCAGCCTTATAACAAGCATAGTCCAAGAAGCTTACCAATGTCTAGAGGAAAATAAGCATTCTGGTGTCCTCCAGAACATTCTGTGTCCATATCAATGAATTTTGCATTTTCTTATTTCTAAATGTCTTAATGGCTTGAGTTTGACATGTTTTAGAAATCACCAAGATCACCTTAGTGCAGGGGTGTCAAACTCGATTTGAGGGCCACATCAGAGTTGTGTTTGACCTTGGGAGGCTGGGTTGGGCATGGCCAGGGTGGGTATGGCCAGCTCGATGTCACTCCTGTTGGGAGTGGCCCCGGCACCCCTGCCTTAGTGCATTAACTGGAATAAGTATCTTGGAAAAGCATTTATAGTTCTGAAAAGCTCTTCTCCCAAAGAATGCCAAAATTAAAATTTGAGTATCCTCAAAGAACACAAAGTACACATGCATAGGTTTCAGAACTGGGGTTAACTGGTCATGGCTGGGATTTTTAATTGAAATAAATGAAAAGAATTAGTCATTTGACCTATGCTTCTTTTTATGCAATCTTCTTCAACTTTCAGAACAAGGAAAATACAACAAATACATGAGGTGTTTTTTTTTAAAAGGAATTTGCTTGGTCTGATTAGCCTTAGTCAGAATTTGCTTAGTCTGACTTCCAGGTGAAATAATGTTTATATTGCCAATTCCTGGATAACTTGTGATAAAATTAAACCAAACATTGTTAAGATAATGCATTAATAATATGTTTAACCGAAATACAAAAAATGCAGGCAGTGTGGAAGGAGATAATTATAGAGCTTTTAAAATCACCCATTCAGCAGCTAACAAATTAGTTCTAATTTTAAAAAACCCAACCAAGATAAAATAACAGTGCTTCAGAATGGTAGAGTACTTCTGTTCTTCCTTACAAAATATTATAAACCACAAGAGTGTGTTCAAAATTACAGATAATAAGATTCTAAAGAAAAAGTGGCACCTTCTTCTTGCTTTTATTCCAAAATATGGATGGAGGCCAAAATTAAAAACTCAGTTCCATTAACTTATACAGAGAACATGAGACTTCATGGAACATTGAGAAACCAAATTAAAAATATATCTAGCACAAATTTCTGGCTATACATATTTGAAGTAAATTGTCTTCTGCTTCTGCTTCTTGGACTTTTCCAGCTGCTTTGAGATTTCAAACCTCACATCGATGCTTGTCAAGCCCAGAGATGACACGGTGAAATCCAATCCAATCCAATCCTTTATTTGCTTATACTTAACAGACAGAATCTTGCCATATTAAAGCTATAGTCTTCTAACCTACTAGATCTATCCTAAGAGTTTCTAGGGTCTGGCTATTCTGAACGTCTTCCCTCCTGCCCCATCCAGCTCGGGCTTGTGCAGACTCTTAATCTGGGCTTCTCTCTGGGAAAGCTCTGGGTTGTAAAAAGTGCACCCCACTTATTCTCCAGGTCCACATTCCCTCAGAAAGGTACTGAGAATGGTGGATGATCCACTCCCTAGCCAACCTCTCGCCACAGACTTCTACCCTTTCTTTTCAAAAGACTTCATGTTTTCTACATTTGGTAGAGAAGGGAGTTGAGAAGGACAAGAAGCAACAGATGGAAAGTAATCAAGGACAGAAGCAACCTGGAACTAAGGAGAAATTTCCTGACAATGAGAACAATCAGCAGAATGACTTGCCTCCAGAAGTTGTGGGTGCTCCATCACTGGAGGTTTTTAAGAAGACACTAAACAGCCACTTGTCTGGAATGGTGTAGGCTCTTCTGTTTGAGCAGGGGGTTGGACTAGAAGACCTCCAAGGTCCCTTCGAGCTCTATTATTCTATATTTATCTCAGAATGTACATGCCAGAAGAGCCTCCTGTAGTTTAGGCTGAATGTGAGTGTGAGACTGTCATCTGGCAAGTGGGTTAATTCACTACATGTGCAAAAAAAGATCTTTTTAGTTTACATAAAGTTTTCTCCTTATTTATTAAGGTATTTAGCAACTTACGTAGAACCAATATTAGTCAGAAATATGGAAGCACATAAGGAATAGCTGTATAGGGTATGAAAAACAAAAAGAGAAAACAGTTTCCGGTATTTTCTACAGTGTACACAACTAGTACCGTCTTTCATTGAAAGCAGGCATACTGATCACAAAGCCAGAAACATTTCTGATTCCTATGTATTAGTAACAAGAGGCCTGACCTCCTATTATTTCTATTCTACTATTGAACAATCTCAAGAAACACCTTTATCCATCATTTTCCTGTTGCATGAGATTAAAAACAGAGGGAAATCTCTTTTAACCTGGAATATTTCAGCAAAATAAGTTAAAGTTTGGAAGTCATAAAACAAAACAAAAACTCTTACCTGGTAGGTATTGTCAAAGCTGTCATACATGAATCTGGTGATCAAGGAAGTCTTCCCAACTAGAAAAACAAACACACACGTTGGTAACATCCAACTAAATTCTAAGCATCATTGTACTGCAGTTAAGGAAAAGGCATTTGACATGAATCACATTTTGACAATGATTGCGATTTAGTGACAATAATTAAATGAGCCATATTGCCCCAAACTGTTCACTTTGAAATATTTTTAGTTTAACAGCATGTGAACACTTATTGTAACATCTGTCCCCATTACAGTAAGATTCAACTGTCAAAAGCTTTCACGCTTTGCAACTGTGGCTCCATGTTGTTCAGTTGAACTCTGGGAAAAGAGTCTACTAATCCAGGATTGGCCAAATACAATGATCAAGAACAGGGGTCTCCAAACTTGGCAACTTTAAGATTTGTGAACTTCAACTCCCAGAATTCCCCAACAAGCCAGAACTGAAGAAGCTTCTTGGATGAGAAGCAAAACATTTTTAAGGGGGGGGGAAAGCAAGAAAGTCATGTTGCCTTTTGGAAAAGCACCTTTGAGAGTCTTCCCCAACATTAGGTTAGCTCCATCCCTCCTGACGTTCCAGAAATCCTTGGCTAGGTCACCCATCCTGGGAGTCCCAGAGAGAACCAGAAATATATGTAGATATCCAGTACTGAGATGAATGTACTTATTCTCCCTCTGCCTAGGGTTTGTATAATTTATACTTAACAATATTTAATTTTAATACTGATTTTACATTTTTATCATGATAGTTTGTATTTGCATTGTATTTTATCAGGTTGCTGAGAGCAGCCCACAGTCACTTTTCTTGTGATGGTAGCCATAATAGATAGATAGTTAGATAGATAGATAGATAGATAGTTAGATAGATAGATAGATAGATAGATAGATAGATAGATAGATAGATAGATAGATATGGATGGATGGATGGATGGATGGATGGATGGACAAGTGAGTGAGTCATGAGGAGAAAATCATTTCAATTCAAATGGAAAATTATGAACAAACAACAAAATTTCATTTGGTTGTCAATGAAGATTTATAAGCCACCTGTCGCAAAGGGTGACTAAGGAAGCTACTGTCAGTAACTCTTATGAAGACTTGAAATCATTCCCCCATCTCACCTTGAACTCAATAATTAGAACAGGAGAAGGATAACTTCATCAAAGAACCAACTGTTGTGTCTGGGTAAGGCACTTAGATCCCATTAATTCCTGAAGAAAGTTAGTAGTAAAAACTGCAGCTCACTCCCAACCGGTAGGGTGTATATTAATATTCTAAAATTCATGCAGGATTACAACTCTCATCCTCTGCGGCTGATTCCACAATGTGGCAGAATTAATGGGAATTACAATCTAACACAAGCCTTTTAGAGAGGAAAATACCAGGAGGAGATCCCTGTACAGTATGTAATATTAAATTCACAGAGGGGCTTAATATTAAAGAAGGCTGAGGTAAGAATTTGCATCCCAGCCATGCTGATGGTGGTTGGCTTAACCAGCCCTTCCTTTCCTATTTAATAACAAAACAAAACTCAAAACTCAAAACTAATAAAAAGAAAGAAATATAACCGTGATCTCTAACTCTAATCCAGGGGTCTTCCAAGCAAAAAATAAAAAAAAAATCAAAGAGAAGATAGCTTCGCATATTGAGTAATTTCAGCGAGATGCCATTTATCTTTCCTCCAGTTTGCAGCTGAAAAGCAAGAAAATACTTCCCGCTTTGATGAAGCAGCCTTTTGTTCAAGTCTGCTTCAAGTGATGCTGCATTTCAGCCAAATCGTATTTACTGAAAAAACAACAGAGGTTTATCATCCACAACAGGCGGCAAGTATTATATATTTCACACTTCAAACTAATAAGCGTGGTACATATGATTTAACTCTGAAAGTCCCAAATTCGTGTCTAAATAAACTAAATTTAGCCGTGTATTTATGAAAGTGATTGCAGGAAGCTAAAAAAAAAGCTATTTCCGGTACACCAGGCTTCTGCCCACGTAGATTTAAGCAGTCAGGAACATCATGTACTGCGAGCAAAGCAAGAGGACCGATTCCTGCTCAAAAGCACGATCTTTTTCACAAATGTGCTGTTGGAGAATTTCTCACACAGTGAAGACGTAAATTGACAAAGATGCTAACCAGGGATTGGGAGCAAATGAAGAGTCCTTTTTGGACAAGACTTTTCAAGAGACGCTGGGAAAGAAAAAAGTAAATAGGCTCGTATTCAACAGAGGGTTACAACAGGAGTCATTTCACTTAATGAAAAAGATGTATCTTTACCATACAAGTCCTAAGACATTTAGAGGTTTAAAGGACAGTGTATCAACACCTTAACTTGTCCCAAAGGTGCTATTTCCCAAAGAAAGCTTTTTGGATGAGAAGCGAAATGTCAACTCAGAAGCAAACCTGGCTGAAGCCATCTTTTGCTGCCTCATAGTTGCCACGAACTTGCAGGGGGGAGGTGGGGAAATAACAGCTTAGCTGGTAGTCAAAGCAAAAAGCTTTCTCATGGGAACCAAGGTCGAATCCACAGGTGACAGTTTAAGGAGGCGGGAACCTGACCAAGGAGCCCGCCAAACGTCCCAAGTGGGCAATGTGACCTGTGACAATAGGGGAGGGGATCAATTGCTATTTGATTTTTTGTCATAACTGGGGGGAAAACTTTCAGAGTTGGGTTTCACTGGCTGTGCCGATTTGATGCATCCAATAAAGTTCTGCTTTTGATGGGTGTGTTACTTGGAACACTGACACGAAATGTTTTCAAAGGGAAAAAAACACACCCAAGAATGTCCAGTTGCCTTTTGGAGAAAACTCCTTTGGGGACAACCATGACCTGGATGATGGGAGAATCTCTACAGACAACACCTTAACTTGTGACTGCACAAGCTGAATCCGCAGGGTGACAAGTCTGAAGTTTTTGTCTCTCAGAAGCCCTAGGAACCTTTGCCTCTTTCCCGGAGTCCGGACTTGGTACTTCCAAGTGGCACTATCTACCTCCTCTGAACCCTACCTGGAGGTGGGGCGCTGGCTCCCTGTCCTGCTTTTCCCGATAATGGAATGTGGAAGGGTATGACTAAATCCGTGATTAATAAAAGAGATAAGGAACGTTAGATTTGCATTACACTGAACAATAAATAAGAATAAAACTTCAAACTACCAAGTACCAGAAAACATTTTACTTATTTCTACTGAAATAGCAGTGTAAGTATTCCCAGAAGTTCTTGGTCCTCTCTGACCTTGTTTTCTTGCAGACCCAAACTAGGTAACATCATCAGTGCAACGTCTGCAAGAAAACAAGCAAGCTCAGAGAGCACCAAGGAACCCTCATTTCAACCCCGAGCTACAAATATTCTCCTTTATTACTCCCAAAGGTGCTTTTCAAAAGGCAACTGAACTGAACTGAACTGAAAAAACTTCTTGGATGAGATGCAAAAGGTTTACTAGGAAAAAAAAACCCTAAGAAATTCCAGTTGTCTTTTGGAAAATCACCTTTGGACTTTGCTTGTCAAACAGTCACAAAAGGGGATCATATACCCTCGGGATGCTGCAACCGTCATAAATACATGCTGGTTGCCAAGCAGTTGAATTTTGATCATGCGACCGTGGGAACGCTGCAACCATTGTAAGTGTGAAAAACGGTCCTGTCACTTTTTGCAGTGCCCTTGTAACTTCAAACGGTCACTAGATGAACTGTTGTAAGTCAAGGACGACCTGTATAACCTATTGTCTTCTTCGCTGATAGAAGGAAGATTTTAAGGAGAGATTGCACCCACCTCATTGGAAGAGACAGAAATATTTTCTCCTGTCGTTCTGAGCTATGCACAGTGCAGAGTTCGGTTGACCACAAAATAATTCATTTTAATGTATGCCGATTACGTGTACGTTCAAAGTGACCATAAAGTTATGCTTTTTTTTTTTTTTTTTTTATTAGATTTGTATACCGCCCTACTCCCGAAGGACTCAGGGCGGTGAACAGCCATGAAATAAAACATATAAATACAAAATTTAAAATAGAAATAAAACAAGTTAGATAAATTTGGCTGAACCATATTTAAAACCCCAATAATTTAAAACCAAATTTAAAATTCCCATTTAAAAGAGTTCTAAGTTCACCTCTTTTGACCCGGTCTTGCCAACCTTGAGGAAGGGAGCACCATTTCCTGGCTAGCTGACAGATCACTGGATATCTCCATTAGCGTTGCTAAATGTGTCGCTCTTCACTATTAAGGGCCCATTCATTTCGCACTTCTGTAACCTCATCAGTTTTAAGCATCCATTCCTTTACCACTTCTAGTTGTTTATAACAGATTATACTATCTGTCCATAACATTAAACACCTCTACTAAAGCAGGGGTCTCCAATCTTGGCAACTTTAAGACTTGTGGACTTCAACTCCCAGAAAGCAAAGCTGTCTGAGGAATTCTGGGAATTGAAGTCCACAAGTCTTAAAGCTGCCAAGGTTGGAGACCCCTGTATTAAAGGACTCCTGCCTTTATGACAAAGGGTCCCTCAGTACCACTGTAAGGAGAGGGAACAATTGCTATTGCCCGGTAGATGCAGGGGCCATTCGTTCTTTGTTTTGTTTTTTTGAGCAGTTTAATTTGATTTAATTCGACCACATAAAACCTCTCTAGCATTCTCTTTTAATGTTTTTTACGAGCAAAGAAATTGTCTGGGCTTCTAAGAGTCAGGCTGGTCAAGGAATCTTAAAGGTTGCAGGCTGGACTGGGAAGTTTAAAAAAAAATGTTTGGAGGAAGAGCAGTGGAAAATCATTTCTGTCATGTTGCCAAGAAAACTGCATGGGTGAATCAGGTATTCACTAGGAAATGAGTTGGGGGGTCTCGTGGGGATCTTTATCTTTTTATGGGCCATTGCAGAGGCCTGTAAAGTCTGGGAAAGGGCAAATCATCTCTCTAGTATTCAAAGGGGAAAAGAATGACAGACCATTCTGATAAGCAAGCTATATAGGTAGGAGTCACATATTATGGGATTCAGATAAATCTATTCAAATGGCCATCGCAGCGGAGTATACCTTAATGTTT